CTTTTTATTTAGCTTAGAAAGTTTAATTATTATTTTAGATTTATTATTATTATAATTATTATAATTATAGTTATTATAATTATAGTTATTATAATTATTATAATTATTATTATTTATTATATTACCTCCTTAATTTAAAGCTTTTTTTTTACTTATATTATTATATAGAATATTATTATTATTATTATTATTAGTATTATTATTACTAGTATTATTTGGTATTTTAGGAGGTAAAAATTGATTTTCTAAGATAATAATATCTTTAGTTTAGAAAGAGGATTTTTTTTAAAAATTATATATTTTATATATATTATTTTTAGAGTTTAGAATAATAGCTTTTATAGCTTTATTATCTAATTTCTTTATCTTAAGGTCTTTGTTTTTATAGTAGTATATAGAGCTAAAAGTAACTATATAATCTATATCTGGCTTTATATTATTTGCTATTTTAAATAGTGTTTTATAGTTTAATGCCTTATGTGGAGTTATATTATATAGGTCTATTGCTATTAAAGCAGCTTTTCTTTATAGATATAGAGGTAAGTTAGCTTGTAATAGTAAAGCTTTTATTTTATTAGTTATAGTCTTAATAACTTTTTTTATTATATTATTAGGTTTATGCGTATAAGGAACTTTTATATTATGGTTTATGCCTTTTATTAGATATGTATGATTTATAGTATTATTGTTAAATTCTAGACTACCGTCTATATTAAATTCTCTTATTTTATTATTATTTGTGTTATTTTTGTTTATATATTCTAATATAGTAGTATTTACTTCTTCTGCTTTTTTAGTTTTTAAGAGTTTAATAGAGGTAAGTCTAGATTTCCTTTCTAAAAAGATAATAAACCATCTATATTTATTATATGTAAAAGGTGTTATAGGTCTATAGAGATTAGAAGCAACTTTTTCTATGTAGTTATACTCTTTATTATAGTTATCTAAGTTTTTATTAACCTTTATAGTAAAGTTTGCTTTTATATAGGTATTATATATTAAGTTGTTTTCTATTATATTATTACTTATATTAGTGTTATTCTATAGTTCTTTTAGAACTTTAGGACTTATATAACCTAATCTATTATGCTACTTTATATAGTTATTTCCTTCTTTGTTATTAACCTTTTTAAACTTATAAGGTTTTCTTTTTATAGAGTTATTATCTTTTATAGTATTTATATATATGTTATTATTATTATTTTACTATAAATCCTTTTTATTTAAGACTTTAATATTTAAATAATATAGTTTATTTTTTAGTTTTCCTTTATAAAAGGTCTTTTTATTAACTGTATTTATTAAAGATACCTTTGTATTCTAGAAAAGAGAAGCTATATTAAGCTTTCTTATCTTATTTTGACTTAATAGGTTAATACTTAACTATAGTATATAATAACAGTTCTTTAAGATATATATGTTATTATTATCTAGAGGAAAAGAGATAATAATATTACCTATAAGGGTTACTTTTTGCTTTCTTACTTCTTTTTAGTTAACTTGTTTATTTGTTATAGTAGTCTTAATAAAAAGAGATTTATTTGTTATAATATTTACTGTAGTAGTAGTATCTATATAGAATATAGTATAGTTATTGTTTATATTTATATATATAGGTATAAAATTATTTATATTATAACTTAATATTTTATTATTATTATAACTTATAGAAGGTATAAGAGGACTTATGTCTTTAAAGTTTAAATTAATAAGATCCTTTTTTTCTTAGTTATTTGTTATAATATTTATAGGTTCTGTTTCTGCTATAGTTATATTTATATCTTTAGATTTAGAATTATCTAAGAGCTCTTTTATAATAGCCTTTTTAGCTATTAATGCTTTTTGTATTTTATTAAGTTATTTTTTTTTAAGATTAGCTTTTTTTATATTTCTAATATATATTAGATTCTTTATCCTTATTTATTTAGCCTTTTAAGGCTTTATAAGAATAAAAAAAAGTATAATCTTTAACTTTATAACTAGATTTTTTGTAATTATTATAATATATCCTTTTAGTCTTTTTTTAAGGCTTTTTATTTCCCTTTTTATATATAGAAGTATAAAGGACTATAAAAGATCTTTTTCTCTTTGTTTTATCTATAAGATTTATAAATAAAGATTTAATAGTATATAAATCTAAATCTTTTTTTAGAGCTTATATTATGTTAGTTATAAAACCTTTATAACTATTATTTAGGCTATTTAATACCTAAGTAATAATTACTTATTTTAGTAATATTATAGATTTTATAGTAAGATTATCTATAAGCTCTTTTATTTTATTAAGGTAATTTTCTATAGAATTAAAAGATTCTAAGGAGGTATTAAAAAACTTTTTATAAATAAAATATTTATTAGTAAAACTAGTAGGTTTATATAGATCCTTTAGTTTCTTTTAGGCCTTATATCTTATTATAAAGTCTTTTATAACCTATAGAGGTAAATCCTTATAAAATAGCTTTATATAAGCTAGGATTTTAATATTTATTACTTTTTAATTTACTGTTGTTAGCAGGTTTTTAAGACTAGAGTTAATATTTTTATTTATAAGTAAAGCTTTAAATTTAGTTGCCTAAACTAAATAGTTTAGACTACTAAAAAAACGTAAAATATAGATTTTTTCTATTATAGGTTAATTCTAGCTAATTAAAGAGAGATATTAGTATTCTGATAGTATTGTTAAATTTGTTTTAAAAAATAGGCCTTAAAAGTGGTTAAGTTATTATAATGTCGTTGTTAATAGTATAGCGTTACATGGTTGCCTTAGGTTAAAGATATATATAGGCCTTTAACTAAAGAAGCTTTTACTAGACAGTAAAGTAGTTAGTCTAGAGGTTTAGCTACCCTCTAGATTAACTAGTTAAATTAGTAACTTAATTAAAGCTCTTAGGTTTAATTTCAGCTTAAGGTATATAGTCTTTATTAGATATAAACTAGAAATAACCTTTAACTAGTAGAGTAGGATTGAATTGTGATTTGCTTAGAGCTATAGTGGCGTAAAATATAGTGATAAGTGTAGTACTTGCTTAGTAAGCCGGTCTCTCTATTTTGCTGAATATAGGCTGTTAGGTATAAGGTGTAGCTGCTTTAGAGCTATATTCCTTAAAATTCCCTTAGCTAATATAGTTTATCCTTTAGTAAAGTTAAATTTTTGTTATATTAAATAAAAGTATAAGTATAAGTCTTTTATGAGCTAGGCTTATAACTACTTAGAATATGTTAGTAATATTCTTAGATAGTTATAGGGAAATAAAAAGACTTAGTAAAAGTAAAGGTAAAAAGATAAGGTTATTGTATTTATATATGCTATTATATCTTCTTTTTTTTCTAAAAAATAAGAATATCTTAGGCTTATATCCTTTTTTTAATATCTTATTAGTAATATAATTATCTAATAAAATAATCTTATCTGGAATCTAAGAGTTGGTTTTCTGGAATCTAGGGTTAACTAGATCTAAGGCTGGAATTCTAGGGTTAACTAGATCTAAGACTAGAATTCTAGGGTTAACCTGATTCTTATAAGCCTATCTTATATATAGATAAGTTATATATAGTTATAAAGCTCCTATTTTACTTAATCCAAATATAAATATAGTAAGTTTATATAGTTATTAGATATAAAGATATAATTAGATAAGATAAGAGTTCTTATAATAAATCTTATTCTTAGTATATATAAAGGCAAGACAGTTTAGTAGTAGTAGTTTCCTTTAGATCTTAGCCCTTATAATAGATAAGAGTTTATAGTAACAGAGAATAAATAGATAACTAATAAGACTACTATTAAGTAGCTACTAAAGGTCTTTTTGCTATAGACTACCTTCTTCTAGCCTAATTAAGCTAGACTACTAGTCTTAAATAGGTATAAAAGCTATATAATAATAGAATTTATATAGTAATATTATATTAATAATATCTATTTATTATTCTTATTACTATATATCTCTTATATCCTTTAGCTACTAGATCTATTAGTTTTTAGTTTAGTTAAGTTAACTTATTATAAAAAGCTTTAGCTTAACTTTAACTAATAAAATAATTTAATTATAGTAGATAAAAAGTATTTTATATTTTATTATTAGTAAATATATTTATTTAAGTTAATAAAAAAGAATATTTTAAGTAGCTAAATAAGTATAAAATTATAGCTTATTAATATATCTAAACTTTTTTTAAGCTCTTTATTATTACTTAAAGTAAAAGCATTAATAATACTATTTAATAAGGCTACTTAAGGTATCTAGGGTATCTAAGATACCTAAAATACTTAAGGTATAAAAAAATAAGTATTTACTATATTTATTATTATATAGTTTATACCTAAAAAAATAAAAGATCTTAATAATTAACTAGACTTATTTAATAAGATAAATTAAAGTATTATTATATAATATTAATTATTTAAAAAGGTTAAAAAAGGCTTTTAAGAGTAGTCCTTTTAGCTAACTATTACCTAGCATTAATTATAGCTTTTATAAGCTTAAGTTAATAATACTATAATAAAAAAGAAAAAGACTATTAAAATTAACTTTAATACTAAGTTTATTAATATTAGTGATATACAGTAAGCCTAGATCAAGGCTGGCAAAGCTGAAAGTGGCACATATGAATCCAGCGCATCTGATTGCTTTAGTAAAGCAGAAAGCTGTATCATAGTTGTATCTGGGCCTAGGCAATAGTTAATTGAAAAGGGTGGTTGTGTTGCGATAGCTTCGTTTTTGTGCGATCCGGATGTGGGGGTGATCCGAAAGTGGGTATCCTGACTTAAACGTTAAGCGGAGGTCAATCATTGGATGGAATTCGGTTGAGATGCAGATGGGCCACTAGTGATAATATCTGGCGAGCGACAGCGTGCATTTCATAGCAGCTCTCCGCCGCATTGAGCTGCATAAAGATGCAAGAATGGATGTTGGTCATTGCGTGGGTGAACCCATAGTTCAAGCCTTTGGCCGCTGTCATTCATATTCCTTGAATTCTCAACCAGCGCATGTTTTAATGCCTCATGAAGCCAATATCCAAAATGACACGATTCCAACAATACTGAGTCCCAGTCCAGGAGTATTTATCACCCCGAGTGCCTCTTCTTGCACCTGCCCTACAAACTGGCCGACGACATTGCCCCTCGGCCAGTATTCACAAACCAGGTACCACTGCCTGTCGCCACACAGTTTGCGCCCACAACCGACATCACTGGTGTTCTTCCACACGAGCTGCGTAAAATGGCCGGTACGCTCGTCGAACTCTCCCGTATCGAAATCGTAATCATCGCGCTCTTCGCCCCACGCCTCGATGCTCAGCGTTGTGCTGGGGTACCCCTTGGCCAGGTTCTCGCTGTAGGGTCCGCCAGAGTGCCCAAAATTGCAGCTGTCGCCCGGCATGTCGTCTAGGTAATCAGTCGCGAAATCGGCAAGGGTGTTGTTCCAGGTCACGTCAGAAGCATTATGCTCGTTGCGATAAGAGTTTGTGCTGTTGAGGACCGCTGATGTGAAGGTGTCGTCCGATGTCCATTCCGGCTCTGCGGTTGGGCTCGGCGAACCTTCTGTGATTGTTACCACCGTCTGGGCCAATGTGAGCTGAGTGGCGAGAAAGAGGGAGGCACTGTTGGTGAGATGCATGGCGTCAAGTACTTAAGCGACGCCTGAAGGGATTTGGCGATACAGTTTGCCTGTCGATTAATGTCCTCCCTTTGTAATTGAAGACCGATGCGAACAGATATGATATTCGACAGGGTTGGTCTAATGGACATCGATTTAATAGCAGTGGAGGTACTGCCGCTGATGTCTAAAAATCATACTGATTCCTCTAAAATTGAACAAATGAAGCCGGGAAACCAGTTTTTGCTCTCATGATCATCGCGCTCAGCCAGTCAGTTGCGATTATCAGCGTGTGAGATGACGCATGCTGCTCTTGTTAAGGGGCTTTCCAAGGCTCCCTCGCTGCGAGCTGCTGACAGTAGTCCACCTGCCCGGCCAATCGAACGTGCTCTTCGATGCCTTGGCAGCTCGCCCAAGCCTCTGAGGGCGGTTCATCCAGAATTTTCGGGCAATGATGTTAGCTGCGGCACATAGGCACAATGCTCACGTACACACGACACGCAACTCCTCTGTGCTTCAATTCTGATGATTAATTGTGGAGTGGAGATTGTCAGGTGTGCTGGATGGGTGCGGACTACAGTGTATCATCTTCACGTCCGTTTCTTGGCCAAGCTTTGTCCCCAACTTTGGCAGAAGTAGGACGACGTCCCCATCGGTGCAATCACTCAAAAATCCTCAAAGACAATAACCCAATCCCAGAATTCACCTACATAATTAATGCAGAGTATTCTTAATAGGTCAGCGATTTCAAAAGCCGGCCGCGGTTCTCACTGCATCGATGTGGACCAGATAACCGAATGCCCTTCGTCATAACTCAAAGACAAAATCTCACTGATCCCAATCCTGCTGCTTCATCAGTGGGGCCCGTAAAGGCTAACCCCGCGTGCGGCAGATGGCGGTGAGCTCAGTAAGCTCTCAGGAGAGTTGGGCTCCAACTACCGGAAGCCTCAACGGGTTGATTAACTACTTTTTTAACGTCGATTCGTTTGAAATGGCTCCGAACTTGGTCTCTACAAATTATGAAATCGGCCAGCCAAAGTTTGATCCCCTCAACAAAGGCAACTTCTATTGATAGTTGATAATGAGGCTTACACTCATGCAACACGCATCGTAACAAGGTTTTATAGTTTGTGGGGGCGGAACTGAAGCGGGAATGTCTATCAAGTCTATAATGATCCTACCTAATGCTCGAAACGGTGTGTTTTACAGGAACAGACATAAAAATAACAAAAAAAACTCAAAGAGTGCGGCCGTTTGTGATGTTTTTCAGCAACGGATGCAGCCATTTGTAGGTGCCTTCAAATGGCTCCGGCTTCGAAATGAAGTCCACAACGGCCGATTTTTGAACCTTTGGCGTCACCACGTATGTGATGAATAGTTTCTGAACGAATTCCCAAGACATGACGTACCGCGACATGAACCAAGCCCATGTAGACGCCCACGCGTGCATCCTCGTCATCTCAGCGGAAGCGACCAGGTCAGCCTCCAGCAGCTCCTGTCTCTCTTCTCGATAGTCCTTAAACATGCGCTCCAACGCCTCAAAGTCCACCGCCTCTGTGCCTGCCGTCTTTTCGTTGGTCTCCGAGATGAAATTTTGCAGCTTGTTGCAGACCGTGACAACATCTTGGACGCCGTTGTTGAAGCCGAGCCCGGCATTGGGTGTAAACTTGTGCGCGGCATCGCCAACAATGACGACCCTGCCTTTCCAGCTCCAGTTCCTACAAATACCCTCCTCGAGGCCCGCGCCGCCAGCATTGAAGCGTTCCTTGAAAACATCTTTGACTTTCAACGTCTCCGTTATGTGCCAATCGGCAAATCTCTCGGCGTACTCTTCTAGTTGTTTGTCGGAAAAAGCGATTCGCTCGGTTGTCGTCTTGGGAAGCTTCTCATAGAGAAAAATCCATCCACGGTCCGTACCTGTAATGTACATGACTGATCTATCTGTATCCTGCGTCTCGTAGCTCTGGCCGGCCGCAGTCGGTCGTGGAAATGATGCCCAAATGCACTGGTAGTTCGTCTTGTATGGTTTCACAGCGTCCCAGGTCTCTTCGCATGTCGGGTCTTCAGCAATGGCGAGCTGGCGCATCTGACGACGGGTCGCCGAATGGACGCCATCAGCGCCAAGAACGATGGTACCTGAGTAAGAAGACCCATCTTCGCAGGCTACTACCGCGCCGGTGTCTGTTGATTTAATGCCGGCGAGCTTCTTTCCCGTCAAGTAGCGCGTCTTCGCAGCTTCCGGGAGGTTATCGTATAGGGTCTGGATGAGATGTGCTCTATGAAACGCGAGAGGACCTGACCCGTGACTGCACGTGGGGACAGAACTCGTTAGCAGGCACAAAATGCTCGCAGACCGCTGGGTCACCGATAGACAGGAGAAGGAACAGCTTACTTTTGTGTGAGAACATCGAATACTCTGGCAGACTTGAAAACTCGTCCTTCTTTGTCGAAGGCCTTGTTTTCGTACAACTTGCCGCCAATACGGATAAGCTGGTCGAGAATACCGAACTGGTGGAAAACGCGCAAGCTCGCTGGGCCCAGGACCAAACTCGCTCCGAGGTCCTCAACGACATTTGCTCTCCTCTCGAGGACCACAAAGTCGATGCCAGCGTGGTACAGGGCGTACGCGGCGGTCAGACCGCTAGGCCCGCCGCCGACAATGATTACTTTGAAGGGCTCGCTGATCATAGTTGACAATGGATATTTCAATGTTGTGTGATTTCAATGCGGAAAACAGCAATTCTTGTAAGGTCGTCTTGGGGATATAATATAAAGCTTCTCTCGACAATCGGACACGCGTTAGTCCGGCAAGCCGTCCGATGAGCTCGCACTTGAATAGTGTGGATACTTTGTAGGTCCAGGTCTTGCATTGTGGCAATGCTGCGGTGGACAACATTAGACCAGGTAAGTGTCTTGGTCACACACTGCTCTCGGTTCACGACCCAATGGGTGCCGGCAGTAGGCATGGGATCGGTCACAACATGGAACGAACTCCAGCGGTCCAGGCCTATCGTTGGTCGTTGTCGAGATTCAAGACCTGGGCTTCCCTGTTCGCTCATCGGACTACCGCGGCTGCTTGAAGTCCACAGGCACATCCGAAAGACGCACCAAGCTGGGGCAATTCAAGGTACTGGATCATGACGAGGCACTTGGTTGAAAAAAAAAACAGCGCCGGGCTACTTGTGGTAGAGGTATACAAAAGTGGTGCTGTTGTTTGTCACCCGAGTGCGAAGTTATCTCTGCTGGCCTGCGGATCCTGTTTTCGGGTTCGCCGCCCTGCATCCCAAGCAAGATTTTCCGCACCCAGCGGTCCAGTGGAGCTTTTGTACGTCGGAGAAAACCCGCCAATGCTCCTGAGTCCCACCTCCAACTTCCGCCGGGGTTCGTGATGCATCTTGACGCCCTAGGTACAACCTTACGAACGGTCTTCGGGGTCCGTCGTGGATGGCCTGCGTTTCGGTGCTGGACGCCTTGTAGGTATTCAATCATTGAAAAATTCAGTGTGGCCTGCTGAAAAGCTGCTTGTTCCATCGGTGGCGACTTGGTGGCGGCAATGGCTTGATGCTGGGGTGGTCAGTACACCTGTTAGCATCGGATCATGCACGGACTGTCCACCGACCCGACACGCCGACGATGGCCGCGTGTGTGGCAGATGACAAGCGCGAGTCCATAATCTGAGGTCTATCGACCCAATCCGATCTCAAGTTGCGTTGCTGATGTTAGGTAAAGCGCTACCATGCCACCGTCAGATTCGCTACCCCGATCAGCTCCCTGCATTGTCCAGACTCTCACTACTCAGCCCAACAAAGATAGGTGTGGAAACCTCACCAGAAAACAGTGTGATATGTACCAGGATGCGATTAAGGAATCAAAACGACAGCATTGAAAGCACCCCAGATACCGCAAGGTAGAGCAGCAGATACATACGCCAATCATTTCATAGAACAAGTGGATAATTTGCTGTTTATTACTAATATTACCTTGACTGAGTGATTCCACAGTTCGGATGCTGTGCGGTACGTAGACAAAGTCATTCTTGAATTATGATAGCTAAGTCAACTGGAAATGAGAATACGTACCGAATTTGGCTATGTGAGGCTGAAAGACAAGCTCTGAGTAGATGGCGCCTTTGCTTAGACAGGCAGCAACTAGAGCAGGTCTCAGCGACAGGGCATCAGAGAGTCATTGAGTCGGCTTGTAGAACCAATATTATAGAAACCTCTCCTATCAAAATGATTGGCCCACTCCATCAAGTAATACTTTTCGAACATATTCTGTTAACCCACGTCTTCAATTCGGGCACTGACATGATGACTTGTCATCACGCTGTTATCATCCCTCATCTTCTCGCTCAACCCCATTATACCAGCACAATCACTTGACTGGAAGACATGACGTGCGTTATCTTTTGTCATGTGAGGTCGATCATACCCCCACTCGTGAATTGCACTATTAATCATCTCGTGAGCCCAGCCCAGGTCTTATACATAAGGTCAAGGGATTGAACCCCTGAATGGGCCTTAAACGTGATGCCGTAGTCTAACCAGATCTATCGCCCGCGCCGAGCTGGACACTTTCGAAAGAAAAATGTAACCTTGTCCGCTTGTCTGCAGGAAACAGCATGAGTATCAGCCTTTCTGTATCTCAAGACTGATGACGACTTGGTTAATTATGTCCCCGAAGTTATTCATCTCCTAATTCATTTACGCAAGATGAAGTCGCTCTTTGCATTAACGGCACTTCTAGCCTTTCCATCGGCAGCCGTCGGTATCTTATTAGTTCTTTACATCGACCCCAGTAATAACTTGGAGAGGCTTTACGATGGCACTGCCGACTGGCGAGCTGCAGTTGCAGCCATCCACGCTCATCCTGATCTTACCTTAAACGTCATCATCAACCCCAACAGTGGCCTACCTTTTGCCAGTGAAAATGGCATCAAGATCGACTGGGCTCAGTGGATTGGCCAAATCAACCACTCGTGCAGGATCAACCTTACGACATTGCTACGTCAAGTAACGCATTGACACCTATACAGCTTGGAACATGACTAATGGCTGGGATGCAAACTCTTGGGACATCCAAAGCGACGGTGTTTTCTTCGACGAAGGGAACAATGCGCCGGCTTGGCTTCAATACTTCACCGATGTGTCCGATTACGCCAAGTCCAAGACGACTATGGTGGTTCTTAACCCCGGTCCCATCATGAATCCCAATAGTTTTGCGTTGTATAATGTGGCCGATGCTCTTCTGTCCATTGAGACGGGCTGCAAGTCTGATCCAGATGCGCCTCAGGATCGATGCCCTCGGAACACTTAAACCCCGTTTAAGTCTGCATCTTTGAGCACTGTTCCAGCTGATGCGGCCCAGAGAGCCAAGTCCTCCGTGCTGGTACACGACTTTTCAATGACTGGGAACCGTATCAGTCTGCCTCTATGGCCACTCTCCAGGCTGATATCAACGCAACTGTCGCTGAAGGTGTGCATAGTCTGTCCATCACTCATAGGGTTACAATGAGAATTTACGCGAGAACCTGCCAGTGCTGGCACAGTCTTCAACTTGCTAGCACTGGCTCAATGTCTCTGATCCGGCCAATCATTGTGAGCAGCGGGTGCCAACAAACCAATCGTACGTGGTTTCGGTTGGACGATGTGGGCAAAAATATGGTGGTAAATGCCATTATACACTTTACATGGTCTTTGGTCTTTGTGGCCTCTCATTCATGGGTTTCTTAGCAGATAATCTTCCGTGCCTGTATGTGTGTCGTAGAAGCGTCGATGAATTCCTCGCACCGATGAGATCCGGAGCCCGTATTCCGAAGCCATGCATCTACTTTAATACGCCCAGCCTGGCCAATACCTTCTTGTATTCCTCGGCAGCCTTGCCTTTCCTAAGCATGAAAATCTGGCCTACACTTGCTCCGTTCGGTGCCGTAAATTCCAAGCGGTCAACCGTCTGGAAGCCATACTTTTCATAGATCGCCTTGGCCTTGGGCATGGCCTCCAAAAATGCTAATATGCCTTCCTCGTCCGCTATATCGCAGCCCCATTTCAGCAGAGGACTGGCAGCGCCCTTGCCCTGGTGCTCTCTCCGACAAATGATGAGTTCTAGATAATAGTGTCTGACGTCACCCATGATCTCGGCGTGCTTCCTCCCAATAGAACCGAAGAAGTCATTGGCGAACTCCGGGTTACCCTCTTTGGGCCAGGCATCGATTGGAGGCGGTGACTGGACGTTCTCCTCTCCGTCTTTTGCCGGACAGACCCATTTCGCGCAGGCGATGGGCAAATCAGGGTCATCTTTGAAGTCGGGGTCGGTAATGACGAGCCACTGAGACCGCGGTTCGCTCATTTCTTCCTCGAAAGATGTGGCAAGAAACTCGCGGCATGCTTGAGAGCTTTGAGGGAAGCAAGTTGTCGCTACTGGGTTGTCGTGGAAGGCTGAGAGGTAAATGGCGGCGAGAGCCGGGCCGTCAGCCGGCGTAGCCGATCGTAAGTTGAGGGGCATGATCGATCTTCCAATTATGATCCTGGTTCTTCCGGCAAAAGACTCGTTACTGGGTTGAAGATATTTACGTTAGGACTTTCGTCTTTGACGAGGTGACAGTAATATAGACTAAGGTGTCGTCAATTCATTCGTTATCCGTAGGCTGGACGCGCTGTTGTCCTTTGCGACGTGGAAGCGGCGCGTACAACTGCTTGGCTTGGCCTTGCTCTGGTGAAAGCGGCAAGGTGATAGTTTTGGACCTAGCGGAAAAGGACAGTAGTGCATTGGTTCACTGTGCCGGATACACTTAGCCGAACCTTTGTCGAATCAACTACAGCATAAACGACCCAAAATGAGCGTAAGTAAGCTAAGCATTAGGAGAAAGGGGGGACAACAACATTAGGGAATGAAGGATATTGATGGAAAACTATGGTTACAAAGCCGAAACACAAAAATTAAAGAATAACCCGTTTGCGACAGAGATGAGATTTGAACTCATGCGGCCGAAGCCATGTGATTGCGATTCGAATTCGAGTCACACCCATTAACCACTCTGGCACTCTGCCATGATTGGGTGAGTGATATCGGCTGCAACCATGCTTATGTATCATTCCCGATGATAGCCGCTACTGGTACGAGCTTTGACTCAACAGTGGGTTTCGGGAGAAGAGACAAATGTAGGTAGTTTCAAGGTCTGGAAATGGTAATAAGCACAGACTCGCTTTCCAGTGCAGCAACAGTGGTCCATCTTCCACACTTGCGCTGTGTTATCTTGGCGTTGGTCAGTACGTATGACCGCTGTGCGAAACTGCTGCAACGGTTGATTTATTTATCGATCAAAATGAACCCCAGCTGCTGTACTTCCCCCTGTAAGCTGCAACTAGACAGACGCCTTCCTTCAAAGGGGATAACCAGGCGGATCATCAGTTGCACTTAGCTCGGAAGCCTAAATGCAAGCTTAAGCGGTGGGTTAGTTCGTGCCAAAATTTCCAAGCACGTCATCGACAAGCGAACTCGTCGGTTGTCCTCAAATGCGGAGGTGATAAACACTGCGGGGTGAGCGGACACCGAACTCTTCCAATCAACTACCGCACGGTATGTTCCAGGGTTACAGGTGTACATGTATGTGGATAACTTACAGAAGCAGCCCTGTCCTACCGTCAGATAATCGTGTCAAACGAGAAGGCTAGAAACAACCGAACCATACATAGGAGCTAGATGGATTGGTCGCCAAGGGACTCGGTAGTATCGGGAGGCCATATGCTGGACCGGAGTAATGCAACTTAGGAAGCTACATAAACCCCTACACTGCTTGCTTACAAGCAACTACAGTACATTTTGAATGGTTACATGATTTCATAAGCAGTGTCATTGCCACCTGCAGCATCCTTGCACTTCAGTCTAGCCAGCGAGGACCTGGTGCATGGAGCCTTATAGTCGCTCATACTGGGTACAACAAAATCAAATAGTGGTTATCCTGCAGAAGTCCTTGCAGCCACTGGTGAGAGCAAAACGAACCAAGAAGGTGGATTTTCCACATTGCCTTTGTCAAAAGTTCTGCGATGGTTGACCAATCGTGCCAAGATTTTGCGACATCATAGTTACCTTCCTTTTTCATCAAAGCAAGCCAGGTTCATTGAATGCCCGTCTGGCAATAGTCGCTATCAAGGAGGGGGCTCAAGCCAAGTAATTGTAAGCAAACCAATTTTAAATGGCCTTATTCGAACGGCATTGTCGCCATCTCTTAGCTTCTATAGATCATGTGTAATGATGACACTTGCTGAGGGACTTCATGCAGAAGTGTTGCAATCCCACCGATCACTCCGTTCTGGGACTTTTGCGACGCGCAAAAAAATGTCGCGTTTCTTGGCTTGAGGTATCCGAATGGTCACTTCAGCTATATAGATCGAAGACCCTTCCTTTTAGTTTGGCGGCGAGAAGTCTCACTCAGGTCGTTGTCTAGTTGCGTCTGCATTCGATCAATCATCAATATGAAACCCATACACTTGACTCTTGCGGTTGGAGTCCTCTCGGGGATCTCCGTCGCTAGAGAGCTAGAGCCCAGCGCCGAGGTCTCGGCTTGGTATGACACTGGTGCCGCCCACCAGGAGAACATGGAACACAAGATCGTCAGTCATAGAAACGAGCAACCCATCTACCCTATGACTGACGTCTCATAGGCCCAATGGGAACAAGCCGAGGCAGAGGGGAAGTTCGACTCTGCTCAATGGACCGGACGCGTCAAGGATTATCTTGCCTGCAAGGACGGCAAGGTAGAGCTTGTTAAGGGCGATCCTCTTCAGACATTTAGATGCAAGGATGTAAGTATTATCCAGCACTGAGTCAACCCGGACTGAAGCTCCGTGACTGCTACGTAAAGTTTTGACTCCAACTTGCCAGCTTGACCTCTACGATTTCCAGCCCCATGCCGCTTTCGGTAACTCTACTGGCAGAGGCTCGGGCTCCTGGGGTTGGACGGCACCAAATGGCAGAGAGTTCTTTGCAATCGGGCAGTTAGACGGTACTGCCTTTGCGGAGATCTCCAATAATGGCAAGCTGATTTACCTTGGCACTCTGCCATACTACTCCGAGCCGAGCCGATGGCGCGAGATTAAGACATACAAGAACTACCTCGTCGTGGGTAGCGAGGCGCCTGGGCACGGTATCCAGTTTTTTGACTTGCGTAAGGTAAGGAACTACCACTTTCATTACCGTAAGAAAATGTTCAAGAACTAGGGTTTGGGCTAACATGGATAAAGCTTCTCGACATTGACCCCAAGAGCCCCGTTGTCTTCTCCAATGAGAAGGACTTGACGGCGCATTGGACCGAGGCCCTGCCTCTTGGCCGCAGTCACAATGTCGTTGTCAACGAGGAGAAGGGCTATGCCGTTGCTGTTGGTGCCCAGCCCCGTCGAAACCTGCCTTGCGATTCTGGTTTGCAGTTCCTTGATCTCGCAGATATTACGAACCCCGTCTATCTGGGATGCGCTGCTGGTGACGGCTACGTCCATGATGCGCAGTGTATCGTCTACCGCGGGCCCGATTTGAAGTATTGGGGTCGCGACATCTGCTACGGATACAACGAGGATACCTTGACAATGTGTGTTCTCCACGTGCCTCAATGGCCTTAGATATTACTGTGTGGAATGCTAACAAATGTAAAAGCTATGATGTCACCGACAAGAACACTACAAGCATCATCTCCCGCACCAGTTATGACGGCGCAACTTACACCCATCAAGGCTGGGTTTTCGACCCCAACTGGCAAGATTTCCTGGTTCTAGATGATGAGATCGATGAGCGCAACAAGACGGGCCCTGCTGCCGACGGCTTTCCAGTAACATACTTCTGGGACATCCGATCCCTCCAAAAACCAAAGCAAAGCGGAATCTTCAAGGGCAGCGTCCGCAGCGTTGATCACAACCAATTCATCCACCGCGGTTTGTCATACCAGAGCAACTACGGCGCCGGTCTTCGAATTTTGGACGTTTCATCCGTCCGCTGGGACCCCACAGCTAAGCACGTGAAGGAAATTGCCTACTTTGATATCTTTCCTGAAGATGACAACGAGCCTGGTGGTGGCGCCAACAACTACACCGGTACCTGGAGCCACTATCCGTACTTCAAAAGCGGTTACATTGTCATCAATACTATTGAACGTGGTGTCTGGGTTGTGAAGCGATCAAACCCTTGGTGGTGGCCGTGGTGAAAGGAATTGTATTTCACCTGGCACATGTAGTTAACTTCTGCTGTGAAGTGATGCTGACAAGGAACAATGTTTGGAATGACTTCAATTCTCTGTATATAGTATACCAACTGCAATATAGACGTTCGTTTGCGAACGTTCAAGCCGACCCCCTGCCGCCGCTCAACTCATTGGCGACCCGAACGTTCTCACTTTCGTCTTTAGTGTGAGCTTCCGTCAGAGTCATATAGAAGAACAGATTGCCTGTATACGGAGATCCTGAGTGGAAAATCATCAGGTGGGCGCGTCTTTGTCATGAATTCGTCTTTTAACGCTTTGCTGCTGTGATTTCGACAGCGGTCCACTGATGCTAGCTTCCGATGGGTTGTTGATATTTCGAGTTTTCATGTTAACAGCAATCGGTCGCTATCAACTCAGCGTCAACTTCACCATTAGGCACTTGAATCCCCAGTCCCAACACATGAGATGCTAACACTTGCCTTTCTTGAAGACCAGACTTCTCCACGGCTCGGCTTCCATCGGGTTGACCACGGCTGGGAAACTGCGCCCTTCGGTTGTCATTAGCGCAGCCAACCCCACCTCGCCCTACTAAGAGTATATCCATTCCGCTGACTTGATATAACTTCGTCCTGTGAAGTGAATATTAAAGTAAAGTGTCAGAACATCCTTTCAAAATTGGCTGTACAATCACAATCTAATATGAGCAACGAACTCGCGAAAGAGCTCAAGCAGCTTCACGCACCCGCATTACCGATCATATTCACCAACGTCTGGGACCTTGCATCCCTCAATGCGGTCTTGAGCCTTAACACAACCGAGTCTAAGCCCGTAAAAGGCATCGCAACTGCATCATGGGCTATTGCAGCGACACTGGGTATCAAAGACGAGGAGCTTACCCTAGAGCAAAATATGGCCGCCATCAGCCAAATTGCGCCCATGGTGGGAAGCGCCTATCTACCCCTCTCCATCGATCTCCAAGACGGCTATGGAGAGCAGATTGAGGAAGCGGTAGCATCTGCAGTCAAGCTAGGGGCTGTCGGCGCCAACATTGAAGACAGTATTCCCTCGGCAGGTTTCCACAAGGGCATTAACGGGTCACTATACAACGCAGATGCACAGGCTATCCGTTTGAAGCGAGCGTTGGCAGCAGCACATGAGGCCGGATGTCCCGAATTTGTACTCAACGCCCGATGCGATGTGTTCCGACTAGAGCCATACTATGCCAGCGATGAAGAGATCGCGCTCAGAGAGGCCGTGCAGCGGGGACGGGCTTATCTAAAGGCGGGCGCGACGACCGTATTCTACTGGGGCGGCTCGGGTCGGGGACTTCGGACTTCAGAGGTTAAGTTTCTTGTTCGAGAGCTCGGGGGTCGGGTTGCAGTGAAACTGGGTGATCGGCCTGAATCGCTGTCAACGGAAGAGCTGGCTGAGATTGGAGTAGCTAGGATCAGTGTTGGACCGAGCTTGTATATCGTGGCGATGAATGCTATGAAAGATGTAGCGAGGAGGATTCTTTCAGGGGGCAAGTTGACAGCATAAACACATCCAGGATTTATAATCCATAGAGGTGGGATCAAGAATGGCTTAGCCATCTCATTGTATGAACATATTCTGTCCCCTGGCACGGCAATAATTTCAAACAATTGGAAGACAGCTTGTTCACTATCACTCTAGAATGCCTTCAGCTAAAACTCGAATAGACCTCTTCCTATTATTACGTGAAACATTTACAGCATGATCGGCCTCTAAAGCCTCCTCCAGTGCCGGTCCCTATTTTAGTTGATAGCAGCGGGAGGCTGCTCGCCCGGACGAGCAATGCTTTGAGGGTGAGCGGTGAACATACCCTCGGGATCGAACACGGTCTTAAGCTGCTGAAGCTTGGCGTAGTTCTTACCGTAAAGACGCTCGCTCCACTGGTCAACGGTGAGAGCAGTGTCACGGTAGTTGACGAAGCCGCGCAGGGGCACACCCTCGGCGGCTAGTTGCTGCTTGAAGGGCTCGAAGCCGTTCTGCATATAACTGAGGCCATCGGCAGGGAACTCGGTGAGACCAGTCGCGAGGCGGCCCTCCCATCGGATGAGCCATAAGCTGTTGGCGTGGGCGAAGGAGGTGTCCTCGTCTTTGAGAGCCTTAGTGGGCTTTCCGCCCCAGAGGTCAATGAATCCAAACTTTGTAAGGTCGGTGCGGTTGAAAGCCAGAGTTGTGAAGTTATACAGGGCGGTAGCGGACTCTTTGGTAAAGGGCTGGTCCTCACGAAGGACGAGAGCCTGTAGGTAAAAGCTACGGGGAGGGAAAGTGTCGATGGGGATATCGATAGACGGAGTGGCGACGTTCTCGACGGCCCAAAAGTCTTGAACGGTGCGGGTAAGCTGGGTGCCATTCGGGAGCTTGGCGACAAGCGGCTCGAGCAATTTATCGAAGTCTTCTGGGTTGCCCCAGTAGAAGCCGGAACCGGTGTAGGGAGGAGCTGTAAGAGACCAGCGCATGGTCAACTCATCGGGCCACTGGCCAGTAAGGTAGTGGTCTTGAATGGCGAGGAGGGCATCAACGCCAGCACCAAGGGAGCTGTCAGTGAGGGTGATGGTGTAGTTGATGGCCTGTTGATAAATTGGCTTCCACGTCTTAGTGGTCAGGCTCAAGATGATGCCGTAAGAGCTACCGGCACCCTGGAGAGCCCAGAAGAGCTCAGGATTCTTGGTTCGAGATGTCTCTACTATAGTACCGTTGTAGAGCATATAAGTGGCGCCCTCGAGGTAGTCCATTGGGGTTCCGAGCATGCGGGACAGCGAGCCGAAACCACCACCAATAGAAGACCCGACGAGCCCAACCATGTTGGCGCGGACGTGGGGGAAACGGGCACCATGGGTCTTCCAAAGCCAGCTAACAACAGGGCTGACAAGAGCGCCGCCACCATAGGTGAGCAGGCCAGTAGACTCGTCATAGCTGACCTCCTGGAAGTTGGTCATGTTGATAGTAAGACCAGCGTTGGGCAGACTATACGAGCCATAACAATGACCTCCATCGCGGGCTGCAACGAGGACCTTGGCCTCCCGGGCGCAAGCAAGGGCGGCAGCTACCTCATCGGTCGTTCGTGGCCAGGCGACGCCAGCTGGGGTAGGGGTGATGCGGCGTTGCCATGAGCGAACGTCGTTGGGGAAGGACGCATTGGTCTCGGGAAAGGATGTGATGAGACCAGCCGTCTCGAGGCAAGTATTTAAATCCTGTGCTTGGATACAAGAAGCAAGAGTCGCCGTCGCGAAGGCGGCGAGACCTGAAACACGGACCATGGTCGATACAACGTGCAAGTAGTGAGAGACTGAAGTTGGAGCTAATGAGCTTGGTAGCTTGTTGTGATAAGCCTCTCCCTCTCCAACGCGGTAGCAAGAATCGTCCCTTTATATATCTATTTGGCGTTGTCTGCTCTATTTCAGAGCTTCCTATAATGATTTCTTGGCATCGTCTAGATTTACCATTGCCGCCGGGGCATTTCCACTGCAAGGGATGTATCCGTATCCGTAACAGTTGGTCGCATCCATCGGCAGTGGCGGACGCTGGATGAACCGTTGTTGTGGTATTAAAGGGGAGAGCGCTTGGCTGTCCTCGTTGATCAGTTCGGAGCGCTCCGACTGCAATCAAGCTGCAGAAACCTTGTTAGATTGTTTCCTGGCATCTGTCCAGATAGAGTTTGGCACTAACCCAAGGATTTCCAAGCTGGCGGGCCTGCAAGCAGCTGTTTTTAGGGGCTTGAGTCATAGTCCCCTGACAGAGTCGGGCATATTTGGGGGCTCTTGCCCACAATAAGCATATCGTAGAGGCATAGAGGCTTCGGAAATTGCGCATGGGGACATTTCTATTTGCTGGAGCGGCTCAAAAGTCGGCGCAGTGCCACGAACCATCGTGATGCCAAGACCAAACTTCCCCTTGAATATATTACTGAATGAAATTGTAGGTTTGCGCAATGGAAGAACTGAGAATTGCACCAAACAGATGATGAGACCCGAGGGTCCAGCGTGCTCTTTCTGTACTCGGTTGTGGGCGCAGCAAATCTTTCATTTCTTCGCCTCCATCAAGGTCGGCGCCAAGACAACTTAGTCATATTGAACACGCACGTTTTGCGAAAGCAAGCACTTTCAACTTTTGGCTAGTAGAAAATAAGCTGGTTTGGTGGTTATAAGCAGCGTCATTGAATTACGCTTGGCTGATTGGTAGGCATACGTACCCTCATACCTCATTTGCATAGGCTTCATTATGCGATTGTTGTGATCCGCCAATCACAGCAGCAGGACCCACCTGATGGTCCGTCACATAGGTTGTGTAGTGTAGTGGTCATCACTCCAGATTTTGATCGCTTCAAGAATTCTGGTAACCCCGGTTCGAACCCGGGCACGACCTGATCTTTTGTCCTTTTTTCGATAGCTGTACCAAGCTTGCACTAATAAGTCGGTTGGTTGGTTTACTTATGACACGACCTGAGAGTGATTTGCTGGACTTCCATCGCGGTCGCTGGCTTCCCTTGGGTCTGGCCTAGAAACAATCTCCGCAGTTCAAGGATGAATAGAAGGTTCAGAGTGTACTTGCATCATTCTTCCCCCCTCTTTATTGCTTACTTCTCCAGGTTCATTCAAAAAAGACTCATTTGCACCACTTAAGTATTTGAAGTCCAATGTAAGACTATATTTTCCGAGGTAATATTCTCCGTAATCCATTTCCCACGTTCCCTTTCTACAGTCCCATCATCCATCCATGTGGGAGTTAGACAATCAACTTGCACTTGCTTCACAACTCATTACACCAACATCATTACAGCCGCGTGATTCCCAAGGCCTCTCGCGACGTGGTGAACCAAGACCTATCGCGTTCGATCGTTGCAAGCATTAGGAACTTCGCGTTGGTTCCTGCGACGCCGTCCGCCAGAGGATCCCTGTCTCGCTCCTGCGCACAGTCCGCCCGACACCCCCCTTCGCGCGGGATGGCACATGCTTCCCGCTTAACATTCATGCATCGCATCATCACAGATAAGGTGATGGATGATTTGCGGGCAAAACAACTCAAATCCAGCCAAATTGATGCCGAGAGTCCGGAGCCGAATGTGACAGGTTGTGGATTCAGGGCAAGGCAGATTTGTCAAGTCACGGTACACAGTAGCCTCACCTGCGGGCTAGCGTTTGGGAATATGCATGCTTCTTAGCTAGGGCAACGGCATCTGTTCGAGCGGAGCGGGTTGGAGACCGTACTGGAAACCATGGGTCTTAAGACGAACTTCCAACTTAAAGACAGCGATACGCTATGGAGAATCATCTCAGAACAGGTTGGATAGCCAGACGCACGTTGTCTTCGTTCCTGTCGCAGCAACCCTCTATTGCTGCATAACACTTTTGCTTGCGACCGTTTCCCAGTGACTTGGTCCGAGTTTTCACTTTTTGTCGAGAATGACACTGTTCAAGTCATCCAAGCCTGCACTACAATCAGAAATCGACATCAATCAGGCGGGTTCACCAAGCTACGTCGATCGCCTTCAACATGGCCTCGGTCATCTCGGCTTAGCAACAATCGGGGGTGGAACAGCACTCGTTCTCGGTATTTTGGGATTCCTTCTCTTCCTATGGTCCGGTGAAGGTTTCCAAGACGGAAAAGATGCATCCAACCTCTGGAGATGGATCATGCTCGGTCAGCACGTCACACAAGCTACCACATTATCGACAGTCCTCCTACGCATTGCGATCACCGCACAGGCCTCCATCTACACCAGCCTTATTGCAGGTGTTGTGTTGGAGAGACATGGTGTCCCTCTCTCCCGAGTCGCTGAGATATCTATTATCCGATGTACGAACGACGGACCCTTGAGGTTAGCGTGGCTGCTCGTCACATCAGCGCGAAAGTCGTGCTTACAAGCAGGACTAGTCATGCTACTCCTGCTTACTACCGTCACTATTCAGTTTTCTTCCACCTTCCTGGTGTCTGATCTGGGTTCTACCTCTCTTCTTGATAATTTAAGGAATACGACTCTTAAAGTACACATGAGTCAAGAAGTGATCTCGTTGAACCGCCAGATGAACGATTGGATTCTCCGACCAACAACTTACGTCCCCTTCGGGGAGGGGTCTACAACAGAGGACACGAAACCGAACGAATTTGGTGTCAGCGACACAAAAGTTGTTCATAGGACGTTTCTACCTCTCTCAAGCGCACAATTGTCTACACTCCGCCAGTACGATGGCGCCACATATGGCTTTGAATCGCGCTTCGTATGCATGCGTCCATCAGTCTCCACAGCTCTTTCAGTCCTCATGCCGCCCCCATTTTCAGACACGGTGCCTTTTAACCTACAAGTAAACGGCAACTTGTCTTATGAAACCACCTTTCGTGAAGCGGGTTTGCTGCTGCCACCAAACTGTGAAGGTGGAACTTGCTTTCCTTCAGCTTTCAATTGCTCGTTACCGCAGTTCCAGTTCGCTCAGGCACAGGTACGACAGGGATTCACGAATAGCTTGTGCATCCCAAATGGCACTTATGCGCGGTCCAGCGCTCAGAATTTTACCATCTCTGACGAGCCTGTCACTGCTTATTCTCAGGTATTTCTATTTTTCAGAAACAACGGCACGCACGACCTATGGAGAGGGCCCGGTGGCCGATTTCTGAGGGGTAACTTCGGGCTACCCAACATCTCGTCGGCCGATGGGGAGTGGATCACATACGAACGACCAATAGGTGGGCGCACACCAGAAGGCGAAGGGATCGAAAAGGGCGTTTTAAGATTAGACATGTCGATTTGTTTCCAACAATTGGCTTTTAACTATGCCGACGCCGAGCTCTCCAGCGAAAAGGACCCGAAAGCGGCACAAGTTTCATGGAACGCAAAAGCGATGACATGGAACACTACAAGTGTTCAGCGGCTTTTGGGTGTCGGATCTTACAATAAAAACGCAACGAGCCGTGGTAGCTTCTCAGTTATCTCGACAAGAAACTATCGACACCTCAACGCGACCCAATATCTCACAAACAAGCTCATCAACGATCTATACAATTCTCCTCGCACAAACAACTTTTCAGTTTTCATGGACCCTCAAGGGAGTGGCGTATCAGATGTTAAACCACACGTAGAATACCAGGCCATTTTTACGGACATCCTCAACGCGACTAACCGTCCCGGCGTGGCGATGCAGTCAACTCTGACAGCATTGTCAGGGTCGATCATCGAGGGAGCCATGCCGCAGTTCGATGTCAAGGAAGATGCGACCCTGATCTCTTCTGTGCAGGTACTGACACCTCAGAGCTTTCGAGGGCTGCTCATCGTCTTCGGCGTTGTGGCATTGAACATGGCGTGCGGTCTGGTGGTCGTGCTGATCTTCATGTTGCAAAGTCAATTTTCTAGCCAAGGGAATTACTGGCAAGGTGTTGCTCAGATTGTGTCCGACGAGACGGCATGGATCTTGGAAGGCGCGACTCGCTCGAGTGATGGACATGTTGAGGATGAATTGAAAGGCTTAGACGACAATGTTCACATTAGTCGGTCTGCGCAAAGTGGGAGGGTTCGAGTAGCTCTCACGGAATCACAGTAGATAAATCGTCACTTTCCTCTTTCTCAAACTACATATCTATAGATTACAAGGTTATCCTCTAGTCGCAGCGACTAGATTGGGAGAAGCCCCTCTCTGATGATGAGAGGTCGTCCTATTGAGCATAAGAGTACAGTTTTTCACCAGATAGCCGAACACAATCAGACCCTCGTGAAAATGGCAAGACGTTGAAGTCAGCTCCGGCCGGCTTGTGCAGACTATCGAATCAACGCTAAGCAGAAGGGTCTTTACTTTCCTAAAGCCAGCATGACTAACGGAAGTGATAGCTGAATCGTCCTGTGGGGGCCATTGGTGCTTCCCTAACAATATGGACTTTCAAGACAACGATGGACAGTACAGTTGGCCGAGCTCTCCCAAAGCAATACACTTCACGGAAAGATTGATTGAATATGGCAACTATCGTTCAGCAGCTTAATATCAAAGCCAGCGTTGACTCATGCCTAGAACCTTACAAGAAAACCTCAGTAGAAGTTCGCATTGCCAAGTAAGGGTAGACATATGAGAAGGGCAACCCTTCGCGATCCTCAAATGAACATCAAACCGGTCAAGTAAGCGTTGAAGCAGGCCGCGAAGGAGTCTAAATGAACATATCTGCGGCAATGCTGAATGAGATGAGGTGCAAAGTTTGTGATGACAATGTATAACTAAGTATACACAGTACTAATCAACAATATCAGACTCTATTGTAAGCACGGCCTTGACGTTGATATCGACTTTATGTGAGTTGCGGCACTGGGTACACCGCTAGGGCTCTTAGCGTCGGCAAACCCACATCTCAGGATCATGGAGACGGACCCAATCTTGTTGCGTCCTCCACATAACACATTTCCACATTCATGATAGCCAAAACTGGCTATCGCAGGTATCTTGCTCAGATCCAGAGATTACTATGGATCTTGTTCCGGAAGGGTGGCCGAGTTGGTTATGGCGCCAGGTTAAGGTCAGCTTAACATCTGTTTCCTGGTGGGGCAACCCGCGCGAGTTCGAGTCTCGTCCCTTTCATTTTGATACTTTTTTCTCCAGGGAACGCCCAAATATCGTTATTGAGTCAGGTTCTGCCTACACATCGACGTCTATTACTCTCTTCTCATCGAATCGCGTACGGCATGGCAGCATCATGTTCATAATATGCAAGAGGTGGGAGGACCACGACGATACTTAGGGCGTTTCCTACCTGACGCTCTGCTGTATTTTAATTGGATTGTTGAAAACACGTGTAAGTTGTCGCTTAGTCTCACAAGTTACTTGAATTGTACTCAATTGCTTCCTGTGGCAAGTTAGTGACCATAGACTTCCTCGCATCATAACGAAGCTGACTACACTTCCTTGGAAACGTTTATTTTCCGTCTTTGAATATCAACCGGCGCTGGGCGTAAACAATCGCATCAGCAGTATGTAATAAAGCCTTCCAATATGCCCATGACATTTCTGATACCGTCGCCGCATGCGGTGGCCTGAAGTTAGTCATTGCACAGAACTGAAACTGAGATTCGTCTGCTGCGTCGCCGACCAGCAGCTTGATCAAGACATATTATATTGAGAACGAGTACAACCGAATTTTGTCCCAACTTGCCCGATAGAGTAAGAGACACATTGCTCTAGCCACTATGCTTTGGCTATACCACCTATCGATGCAAAGGCTGTGAGCGTATATCGCGCAACAGACCTAGACAATATTGGGTTAATTGAGCGCCGCTTCTGAACCTTGATTCAACGTCTCCTTGTAAATCTCCTTGCGATGTTGGGAGATAAGCTTGGCGCAGTCCCGCTCGAAGGATCAAAGATGCTGCGTGATCCACCTCATGTCAGATTCTTGCGGCACAACCCACCTCTCATTCGACGGGTTAAAGTATCTGCAGCTGGATGTACTCGCTGTCCCAATAGTGCCTCGTGGCGCAGTTTTAACGAGATTACCATTACCAAAAAGCGACTGAGTAGGCGAGAGCAGATCTTTTCACGTCGAGGATTTGGGAAGCTCACTGGAAAGAGCACAGCCGAGGAGGACCATCAGACATGACCATTTCTATTCACCGCTGTGACCACCCGTCGGTGGAAGACTATCATAGAGAGCATCTGTTCAATAGCATTTGTGCCTTCTTTTCTTCGTAGGAAGCGGGAGGGGCGGAGCAAGAGGTCTCCATGCTTGTCCCGGGCAGGTCGACATTTTGAGTCGGTAGCGGCCCGAAAGCAAACCCACTTCGGAGAGCTCGACCTTTGCAACAGATAAGCACTCGGGTCATCATAAATTGGATGGGCCCGCTCTGCCTTGTGCGACGAGGCGCCGCGCGTCATTCTCGATCTCTGGAGCCTCTATGCCGACGTATGCCACCAAAGGAGAACGCAAATACGCCTTTGCAAGTCTCAGCCCGGCATGATGTTTCTAGCGCTCTTTCTCGTCGCCGCTGTGGGTCTCGCTCCGGCCGCGGCCCAATCGTCGTCCCCGACTACGGAGAAGTCGACCGTGTGGATGCCGCCGCGCTCCACCCGCGTCGGGGAGAATATATACACATCCGTCATCACGGCGGCGCCGTCCTCAACTGAGTATTTCCTTGCTTGCACATCCGTGTGGGAGTCAGCGTCGTCGTGCTCGCAGTTCAGCGGCGTCACGCTGACGTACGGCAACAGCACGATGAAGATTGGATTCAAGTAGGTGCCTCGGTCCAGGGAATACCCCTTCACCATATATACCATGGTATTAAGCAGCTCTGTAGATCATAACCTAACATGCTTGTAGATCCGACACTTACAACTGCAAATGCGGCGACTCAGCGACGTGCTCCATCAGCGCGTCCAACACGGCCAACGCGCAGTCCGTGCTCGCCAGCTCCGAATCGGCAGCGTGGTTCACGGCCATCACCATCGTCGACGGACATGACAGACTCAAGAGTACGAAAAGCAGTACTTCGCAGACATCAAGCTCAACCAGCCCCGCGTCCGCGGCGACAAGGTCCGTAGGCAGCAACGACGTCTGCAAGCGCGCGACGCCCAAAGGCGGCAGTGAAGGCCACGGCGGCTCTAGTGGCAGCAGTGTGTCGAATAGGGACAGATGTTCTGCTGCGAATGGTGGGTTTGGTGAGTTGGCCTTTGTATTGGTGGCTGTTGGGGGCCTGGTGACAATATATCTGTAGTTTTGATTAATGTCATGTGTAATGAGACAATGATTCTAGCGTCCTATCTGTTTTTGAAGGAGCGCAACGGAGAAAGAAATGGTAGAGAAGTAGGCAGACGATATGACAGCACAAGAGACCATGAGAATAACACTTTGCTGCTATTGATGGATATCCATCCTGATCATTTCCGTCCACGTGCGCTCTATCTTCGAACCCTTAGGCGAGTTGATCACCTCTTTCTAGGCTTTATCAAGTCACAGGTGTTACTTTCCCGCACCAATCATGCGTCTTTTAACGGCTGTTATTGGCACGGATGGACACAAAAGCGAAAGCTAGCACGGCGAATACTCTTTCCATTATCGACCAGAACGTTTAAACACGCCGACAAGTGCCAAGGGATTTGCATCATTCAAACGATAATGAGACGCATATGACAATCCGGGAAATGGTCCCAAAATACCTGCAGTCCCTGCAGCGCTTAAACTTGAAGGGGATCCTCAAAGAGACTGGGGGTGAGAGGGGCCCGTTTCAGAGCCCTTGAGAAAGGTCGGCCGAGCTCAGTAGTCATCCAGGGGCGCTAGCGGCAACTAAGCACCACCTTGTGCTTATTTCCTTAGTTTATTGTCTTCCCGAAAGTCTGTTCTAAGGTCAGCCAGTCTCTTAATTCTGTGACTGAACTGTTATTATCTGGCAATATGATTACGGGCGCCATCGGACGGAAGTAAGCCTCATTTCTTTTCGTCGGAGAAGTTTGTGACGGGTCGTCGTCGGAAGGGCTGGTTTCCGTCCCAACACCGAAATGACAAGTTCATGCCATGCTCACTTGCCACCTCGTGATGAGAAACTCAAAAGTCAAGTGACACTCGTCAGAGCTGAAGCCGTAAAAAAAGTTGCGCGATACGGACAAGACGAGAGAGGCGATTTCGCAACTGGAAGAACTTCGGTGGAGACAGCTCAGCAGAACAAGATTGGTGGATTTTGGTTGCTGTGTTTGGGATCACCGAGGGATCACCACATCAGAAAACCCAGAAGCACTGCTGGGTTCACATCATTGTCTCCATTAACAGTGCATCAGTCCACAATACGGCGTACAGAAATCCGTTCACCATCGGTATCATCCTCCTAGAAAATGAAGCATGACTGAGGTGGGCACGGGCAAAGCTGATGCCGCTCCAAAATTCCCCTCTCCCACGTCTGAAGGTTAAGCTTGGCAGTAAGATGCAGGGGTTCGTGAAACCCCCCTTGGAATAGTAGTGGGGAATAATAAGCCTCTCGGAGCATTTCCGTCACCGCCATTGCTGTCGTTGCCCCCAGCCATTGAGGTTTTCAAGACTCTGAGGTGCAATTGAAGCTAGCTTGGGGTCACAGAGTCCGATCAACAGTTGAGCGCGGAGTGACCCGGGACCCTGGTTCACCAACACAGTGACAGGAGACTGTCTTGAAATTCTGGTGACCAAGCCTGGCTTGGTTGCGCTGGCCAGCATGCGGTCTGCCCCTGTCCATCCTTCTCCGTCTCAACTCCGGCCCCATCTCCCCATCCTATCATGAGGAGTTCACGTTCTCGCCGCCTCACGAACGCGCAACCCCACCCCCTTCCCAAGCCTCCGCGCAGCCTGCCGAGCCTCAAAGTTGTAACGACAGCTGCCGACTCAGGACTCTTCCTGTCGTCCTTGGCAGATCCGGTCGTAGGTTGGCTTCCCCATTAGGCCTTACATCCGCAACCGCAACGTCTTGGCAGCTTCATCCCATCCATGCCTTGCGGAGCTTCAAACTGGCCTCCTGCCCGTCAAGGTCAAAACAACATGCGCAGGGCTGTATCATGGGCTCCAGAATCGAGAGGTTCGCGACACTGACGTCTCAATTGTTCGGCTCGAGCCCATGTCATCCCATGTTGGCGCGGCGGCGGCATGCAACCTGACTGGTTTGGTCTGGCCTCATGTTGGCTCGGCCGTCCTGGCGCCAACTGGGCACTAGGGGTCCAGGGGCAAAGGGTGAGGCAGCATCGCGAAAACGAAAAGCAGGGGCAGACATCTGATAGCTAATGGCGTGGAGACGGCAAACATCCAGCGCTGCAATGCAATAGCATCAGCCGGCTATTGCGTATGGGCTGGCAGATCGTCCGAAATAGTCTATAAAGATCACCCCGATCTACCTCTTGGTTCCAAATCTTCTTTCCTCTCTTTATCACGCTCACAATCATTACAACCTCGCTTCTCCCATCTTCTCTTCTACAGGCAGCTGTGCTGTCTTCTATCTCTTCCAACGCACCTTGATCATTCTTTCAGTTCGCCCGGGTCAGTGTCCCTCATTTCGTCTCTACGTCATCGACTTCCTTTTTTACACCTTAAAAAACAAACCACCCTTCAACCATCAACATGAAGTTCTCTCTCATCGCCGTTGGCTTTGCTGCCCTCGCCGCCGCTGCTCCTCTGAGCACCCGCCAGAACAATGTCTTCTCCACCCAGACTTTCAACGACCTCTCCATCAGCGGTGGCACTGCCGGCAACGCGGAGCAGGAGGCCCTTGACAAGCTCGCTGGTCTCCCCACCGACCTGACCCAGGTCAGCAAGGCCGACCTCGACTTCCTCAACAGCGTCAACCAGATCGCCAACGACGCTGAGAAGGAGGCCTTCAACCCCGCCATTGAGGCCGCCACCGGCGACGAGGCCGATGCTCTCCAGGTTCGTCACACCCAAGACAACCCCACTCTTTGACCTAAAGAAGTTAACTAACCTGTTCGAACAGCGTGGCAAGATCAAGAACAAGGTCCTTAAGCTCACCGCGACCGTGCTGAAGCTGCAGGCTCAGCAGGCCCAAGGCAAAGACGTCTCCGCCAAGATGGCCGAGGAGCAGAAGAAGCTCGACAACAACATCGCCCAGGATGTCGCCGAGGCTGGCAACGAGTCGACCGCCCTCGACTTCGATGCTTCCACCGCATAATTGTCTATGAAGGCATAATCAACGCGATGGAGGGCAGTGGGCATGAAACCTCACCCCTCTTGGGCAGGAAAGGTTTGAAAAAGGGGGAAGGGTCGATGATCATGAGAAACTCACGAGACGAAGAGGCGCTGTGTGCCGACTCGGATGAGATTCCGATCAAGTGCTGGCCATTTTAATTATTGGGGATGTATAGTACGCGCTAGTACACTCTAATACCCTAAGAGATAAATGAAACAAAAACCTTTCAAATATTCCTTATCCTGTGCCAGCTTGCTATGCCATGTGAAGACCATGAAATACCGTAACTGGTTTACGGTGTTCTGCTCTCAATGATATTTTAAGGCCTCTCGCTGCCAAGTCATGATCAGAGTCTTGCAGCATGAGATCTTATTGCACCCTGTGCTATAGGATTAGGTCGCACGGGACGATGTAGAGGAAATAAACTTCCAAAAGTAGAAGACCCCTCAAATTTGTTTCAGATTTTGTGACGCTAATATATTTACGCTATGCCTATGGACTAAGTTCGAGTCTGGTGAGAAATGCCTAATGTTATCCGACGAACTTAATAATACTCTCTATGCTTTCTTAATTTCCGTGGCCGTCCACCTCGCCTTCAACACCTGAACAGAGCCCTTCGGCTTTCGGTCCCGTGTAAAGACTCCCTTCTTATTGCCATCTACTCGGGTAATGCTCGAAGTGGTCTGGAAGTCGGCAAAGTTCCATACGTGCTCCCCGACGACGCCATCGACCCGATCAAACACGCGGTGGAACATTTCCAGAAACTTCCCCTGGTACTCTTCACTCCATGGCAAATCGCCAACGGCATGCAGCCCAGCCATCGCTTCGGCCCCGTACTCGGTCATGATGATGGGCTTGCCATATTTGGCCTGCCACCCTAATAAGTCTTTCTCCAATATCCGCTCGGCCTCCTCCAAGTCGCCCGTCTGCGAATACCATCCGTAGTACCGGTTCAGACAGACAACATCGAACAAGTCCGTGACACGGTCCGACTCCGGCGTGGCAAGCCCCATGTTTGCAAAGCACACCGGTCTCGTCGAATCCAAATCGCGCGTCAACGATATCAAAGGCTCGAGGTATTCCCTCGCTCCCGGCTCTGACGACGCCGGCTCATTTGTAACGGTCCACATCACCACCGATGGATGGTTCTTATCGCGTGCCACGAGCTCGCGAATCGCCTGCGCGTGCGCCGCCTGCGTCTTCTCGTTGCATGCCTCGGGCCCGAACGTCGGCGGCGCCTTGAGCCCGAAGACGCCAGCGATGATGCCAAGGTGAATACCCACGGCAGGCGTCTCGTTGATAACGACGACGCCGTGCCGGTCGGCGTATTCAAGGAACTCCTCAGCGTAGGGGTAGTGCGATGTCCGGAAGGAGTTGGCGCCCATCCACTTCATGAGGTGGAAGTCGTGGATCATGTAGGCCGGGTCGAAGCCTTTGCCACGGATGAGGGTGTCTTCGTGCTTGCCAAAGCCGGTGAAGTAGAATGGTTTGCCATTGATCAGAAACCGATTGCCTTTGACCTCGACTGTGCGCACACCAAAAGATAGCTCGTAGGTGTCCAAAACATCATCCGCGCCGGTGGCTGATAGGATATCAACACGGAGTTGGTAAAGGTACGCCGCTCCCGGCTGCCATAAGTGAACCGAATTGATGGTCAGTTGGTCCTTGGTTCCATTTGCCTGGACGACGGTAGCACCCTCCTCGTCGAGGATTGATATCCTAATCTTGTCGTCGCTCACCAACTCCGAAGTCTCGATCTCATAATTCACCTTGCCGGCTCCATCTTCAGAAACTGTCGTCGCAACTGTAATGTCGCTGATTGAAATGGTGGGTTTTGCATACAACCATACAGAACGCGCCAACCCGGAATAATTGAAGAAGTCGTGCTGGTAAGTCTGCTTCCGTTTGCCGTTGGCCATGGTCTCAATCTTGCCTGGCGGGATAGTCTCCCAGCTGAGCTCGTTGCTCACAGCCACCGTGAGTCTGAACCTCTCGCCCGAGTGAATCACATCCGTAATCTCGGCTTCAAAAGGTGTGTAGCCACCAGCATGGTCGACAATGAGCTTGTTATCGGCGTAGACACGCCCGCGATGCGTTGCAGCATCAAATCGCAAAAAGTACCGCTGGCCGGTAGACCAGCTCCGTGGGACTGTGACTTGGCGCTGGTAGTAGACCCATCCGACGTGGCTGCGAATTTTGTCATCCGCGAATATGTCGTTGTAGCTTGCCGGTACAGGCACCTGGAGTTTCGGCGGCAGAGGTTTCGTCCATGGCGCGTCTGCCTCGATGTCGGAAGATGACGCAATGGCAAAGTTCCAGATACCATCGAGAGAGACGAGCTCTCGGGTAGAGTTGGCCTGCGGCTTGAGCATTGTGGCAGTTTCCTTTTGCTTGACTTTCAGACTATGCGATTAAGGTTCATGAAGTAGTGGTAATACGCGAAACGGCTGCAGACAATCAACCAAGGGCCTCGGCTGTATTAGACTTCGGGATTTCCGAGTCGCCAGTGGTGAAACACGTGAGCCGGTTTAAACAACCATAGGGCCCACAGAATAAAAAGAGTGATTCGTTCGCTGCAGCCAGATCTGGGTCGAACAGCTGAGTCTCTTCCATTGCCGTGGTGCACTGCCGTCCTCCAGCGTGAGATTGCCCTCCACTCCGGACCGCCCACCTCGGCTACCACTTTTCTCCCGGCGTTGTGTGTTTGGCCGTAAAGGGAAACGCCAATCAGATGCTGCCCTGCGACAGTGATGGAACATAGCTACGACGCGTGAAAGCGCTGCCGCCTAACAACACAGGTTTGAATGCTGGGGTCTGTGGAGTCCTTCTAGTTAGGGATTGTGGGGGAGAGTGGGGGACCGAAATCGACAGAGCAGGCTCCGAAGATGAAATTTGCGGGGAACAAATCTGGGGAACATGAAAGGCGATCTGAAAGTCTGGGGTTGAGTTCGTCCAAGATAGGCTGCTGCTCTGAGCTGAGTTGGCACCCGTCAGATAAAGGTCACTGGCTTCCGACTAACTTAGAGTATTATTTCAAACTCTATCTGCTCAAGGTTTCAAGAGAGCACGGACAGCGTTCAACATTAATCGCCTTCCTTACCAACCCCACGGGTTGTACTTATTAAAGCCTCGGTGCAGCCAGAATGACACGACAGCAACAGTCGAAGCCGCCGTCGATTGTAGCTGTTGAAAACGCTGGACAGGATGCCGATTTCCAAGAAGACGCTCCGGTCGAACGCCCTTGGCGGTCACTCTTAGCACACCCCAAGATTATCATTTACGCCATTATAGCCAACATTGGCCCACTCATGTTTGGCTATGACTTGGTCATTGTCGGTGCCGTCTCAGCTCTGCCCAAGTTTCGGTAAGTTGATACAGAAATTGGTGCACCGACTCGAAAGTCAGCCTGCTGACCGTCAAATCAACAGACAGGATTTTGGCCAAAGCGCTGGCCCTACATACATTCTCCCTGCCCTTTGGATCGGATTATGGAATGGCCTCGTCCAAGCCGGCGCCGCGGGAGGCTCTGTCGGTGCCGGTTGGTTTCAGGACCGCTTCGGCCGCCGCGCGACATTCTTTGTCGGCGGTGTGCTGGGCCTTATTGGTACGGCTGCGTCGTATACCTCGGGCATGCCGGACGGTGTGATGGACAGAAGGGGACTCTTCCTATTAGCCAAAATACTCATAGGAATGGGCTGTGGTGTTCTCATGTCTGCTTGCCAAACGTACATCTCTGAGATTGCGCCAAAGAACCTCCGAGGAGTTGTCCTTGGCTTTTACGCCTTCAATGTCGTAGGTTGACCTCCTTTTCGTTGCGATGAGTCCACTGGCGTCAACACGGATATCGGCTGACGCTACGTTCACCAGTCATTCGGTCACTTGATGGCGGTCGCTATTGTCTACACCCAGTCAAACGGCCTCACAGCCGAGTCATACCGAGTACCCTTCGCTACACAGTGGGCTTTTGGAGGGGCGGCCGTCATTGCGGCGTTCCTACTTCCCGAGAGCCCTGTCTGGCTGATCTCTAAAGACCACGTTGAAAAAGCCGAGAAGTCGCTGCAGCGACTGGGGACCGACGGTGGCCACACCATGCTCCAACGGATCCGGACAACGTTGACGCATGAAGAGGACGAGTCTCAAGGCACGCCTACCTTCCGCGAGTGTTTCCACGGCGTCAACCTCCGCCGCACACGTATCATTGTGTGGCTCAACGTTCTGCAGCAGTTTGTCGGCATGGCACTGCTGACGAATGCGGCTTACTTCCTCGTCGTGGCCGGAATGTCTGCGCGATACTCCCTGATGGTCAACCTGATTGGTGTCGCATCCAACATGGTGGCCAACGCAATCTCATGGTACACGGTGCCACGGTTCGGCAGACGAACCATGATTCTCATCAGCATCGTCCTTGATGGTGTAGCGTGGCTGTCGATGGGCATCGCCGCCTGCTCTGTATCTACCGCAGCGCAGTGGTAAGCACCTCCTAACACCCTCTTAAACCCAAGAGCATGACCTTTGCTAAGCATCAATCTCAAACAGGTACGTCGGCGCTGCGCTGCTTCTCGTCGGCTTCTTCAACAGCTTCGGCGTCGGCAGTGCGGTTCCAGTCATCGCTTCAGAGATCTCCCGCGTCCGCCTCCGTTCGAAAGCCGGCGGCATTGGTTTCGCCGCCCAGTCGATCGGGAACTGGATCTTCAGCTTCTTCACACCGTACATGTACAACACGGACGAAGCCAACTGGGGCGGAAAGATTGGCTTCTTTTTTGCGGGACTGAGCATCATCGCATTCGTTGTCACTTGGTTCGAGGTTCCGGAAACGATGGGGAGGACTCACGCCGACCTCGACTATCTGTTTGAGTCCAAGATTAAGTCGTGGAACTTTGGCAAGGCTTCGGTCCCGGACATACAGGCCACGGAGGATGATTTGAAGGGTCAGGGTGGTGAAAAGTTCTAGGAGTTTCATGACTTAATGATGCGATGTGGGGTGTATTCGGATCAAATTGAGACTTATCGGGTGCTCGACCAAGGGTACTGAGTCGTTTTGCTCGAATCCGCTGAGGATATTTCCAATAGCCATCTCAATGAGGGCAACCAGATCGTACATTTTCGGACAATGCTGACTGTTGAATCCCGCAACTGCATTACTGACTCAACTGTCAATAGCGGAGCGTGAATACGAATCCATCGAAACACTATTGACGGCCAGAGCCTCATTGTACCATATGGGACAGCCAGCTCTCTCAATGACATCGTTCGCCAAATGAACTGCCTCTTTTGGACCAACTCAACCCAGACCGCATATCTGCTATAGCTCTTGTTATATGCTTCTTATCGGACTTCTGATGGGTTTCGACTCACAATGCCGTGCATGGCCATCCACTTGCACGTGAGTTTGAGACGCAGCTCTTGCGGCCCGCGTTCCATGGGTTATTTAGAGCTTCTCACACTAGGGGGCGGAAAAAACCCACCCCCAATCCGACCCGCAAACCCACCAAAATATCCGGCCAAATTCTTCCCGCTTTGATAAATTGTACGGAAGTGTCCGGAACTCAACAAATCCTCTCAGCTCGTCAAGAGCTCATCCCCGATGGCACAATTGGCTAGCGCGTCAGACTGTTAATCTGGAGGTTGGTGGTTCGAGCCCACCTCGGGGAGATGAAGTGGTTAGATCCCACCGAGGATATCTTTTTGCTTTTTTCATGTCTGTCTGTCTTCCTGTCTGTGCATCCATTTCTTTTCATCACTTTGATGGGTCTGACGTACTGAACCGAGTTCTGGTTTTCGTTCTTCTCATTCTCATCAACTACCCCATCCCTCTCCCCCCCGCCCCCCCTGCTACAATGTCACGATTCCATCTGGAATCCAGCCAGCTTGGGTCTCATTTTGTTTGATGTGTTTTCGCGAACGAACACAACCCTAGCCGACGCCACGCGCATACCCATCGTCACATCCAACGAGGGCAACCTGACCGCCTCTTTTCTTTTTCTTTTTCTTACTCATCAAGAACCCTCCTAATCGTTACAAAGGAGGACCTAAGACATGTGGTGGAGTTAGCGGCACCGCTAAGGAAGTCTGGAGCTTCCGTCGCCTCCAGCCGCCAGCGCAGCACACTACCGGTACCTAGTCCCTCGGAAATCGATTGGGAATTCCTCGCCTTTCCTCCTCACCGTGGCTGATTGGTTGCGTCTTGTGTTCACCGAGTCCCGCGCTACCTCTCTCAGCTTCCTTAAGCTTCGACCAGGTGGCCATCCACGAGTTGTCCCTTGTGCACACTCACGACATGGAGGGCTGGGCGGCCGCATGCATCCGAAGCCATCAACGACGGCCGCCATGGCAAAGAAAAGCGCTCGCCACGTTGCACGAGTTCCCCCTCGAGAATGAGGGGGCAACTGACTCTACGCGAACGGAGTTTATACAGCTGCCAGGTTTTGGGTGAAAACCATCTGGAGCCGGCGGGGACTGCGCGGGGTGCTTCATACGGGGGTCACCCTTACTCGCATTCAACCTGGCGCCTGCGATTCGATTGCCGCGTCTGGCAAGACGTTCGCGGGTACCCATCTGATGATGGTTTTTACTTCGGCTTCTGTGGAGTCGTCGGCCATCCATGGCCCGGCCATGGTCCACGTCGCCACGCTACTTACTGTATGCATTCCTCGTAGGCCAAAGGGAAGCTCCGGCGGATGGCACGGAAGGAAAAGATGGGCGAAACTTTGAGTCCGCCTCCGTTTCGATTGCCCACTTTGCACTCCGAGCTTCCATATTATAAGCATAGGCCCGTCGTCTGGAGAGCGGCTGGAGTCTTTGAGAGCGTGGACAGTAGTTTGACGTCATTGCATGCATTTCGTCAGATATTTTAGTCGACATCGATCACTATCAAGATGCTGGGCACCGTACTGCCGGGTCGGACTCTGGGCGACGAAAAGGTCGTCGAGGCTAACCTTGTTTCGCCAACCCACGCCCTCTGCTTCGCCGTCGCAGGCCTCCTGTTCTACGTCTTTTACAGATGGGCCCTCCCCAAACCGATCCCCGGAATCCCTCACAATGCGGCGGCCCCAAAGCACATCCTGGGAGACATCCCTTCCCTCAAGGAGGGCATCGACCGCACCGGCGAATTCGCCCTCTGGCTCCTCGACCAGTCATCCAAGCTGAATTCGCCCCTCTTCCAGGTCTTGATCCGTCCGCTGGGCAAGCCCATCGTGGTCATGACCGACTTCCGCGAGACCCAGGACATGCTCATGCGGCGCAAGGACTTCGACCGGTCCTCCCTGGTGGCCGACCTGCTCGAGGGCGCCGGCCGCAAGCACCACATCCACATGAAGACGGGCCCCGAGTGGAAGCAGCACCGCAGGCTCCTGCAGGACCTCATGTCGCCGCAGTTCCTGAACGAGGTGGCCGCGCCGACCGTCTACTCGGGCGTCTTGAGGCTCGTGAAGCTGTGGAGCGACAAGGCGAGGATCGCGGACGGTCGGCCGTTCGCCGCGGAGACGGACATCTATTACGGCGCGCTCGATGCGGTCACCTCGTTTGTGTTTGGCGGTAGCTTTCCCCACAGCGCGATCCGTCCGACGATGGAGCTTGTCGAGGCGCTGGGAGACGACGATGTCGTGCGTCTTCGAGACCAGAAAGGCGTGAGCAACGATGTGCCCGTGGATTTCCCGGAGGGACAGTGCGATGAAAAGCTCAAGGCCACATTCGACGTGGCCCACTCGATCGAGTATCTGCAGGGCTCGCCTATTCCGAGGATCAAGTGGTGGTTCGTCAAGAAGCTGCCCTCCATGCGCAAAACGTTCCAGATCAAGATGTCGTACACCCAAGAGGAGATCGCCAAGGCATTAAAGCGGCTACAGGAGGTCGGCAACGAAGAGTCAAAGGCCCTCTCGGCGGTGGAGTTGATCGTGCTGCGGGAGAGGAAGCTCGCGGAGAACGAAGGCAGGGAGCCGGACTACTTCTCCGAGACGATGATTGACGAGGTGAGCACCTACCCACCCCCCCTCTCTCCCCCGCGGGCAATCTGCACACGTGAGAGAGAGCTGCGCTGACGTTCCGACAAAGGTCTTTGGCGTTGTCGTTGCAGGTCACGACACGACGAGCACCACGATGTGCTGGGGCGTCAAGCTCCTGGCAGATAACCCCCAGACACAGACCACGCTGCGCGACGCCCTCCGGTCCGCCTTCTCGGATGCCCTCGCCGAAAACCGCAGCCCGAGCGTCGACGAGATCTCGGGGACCAAGATCCCGTACCTCGACGCCGCCATGGAGGAGATCCTCCGCTGCGGCGGCGCCGCGCCGATGGTCGACCGCGAAGCTGTCTGCGACACGGAACTGCTGGGCCACCATATCCCCAAGGGCACGGTGGTGCTGTGTCTGAACAAGGGGCCCAGCATGATGAAGCCGGCGCTGGCGGTCGACGAGGCGAAGCGGAGCAAGAGCAGCCAGAGCGCCAAGGCGCGGGCCTGGGACGACGCGGATATCGGCCAGTTCAAGCCGGAGCGCTGGCTTGTTGAGCCTGCGGGGTCCACAGACGGCGCGGTCGAATTTGACCAACAGGCAGGGCCGCAGCTTGCGTTTGGTCTGGGCACTCGGGGCTGCTTCGGGAGGAGGTTGGCGTATCTCGAGTTGAGGATCATCCTGACCTTGATCGTGTGGAATTTTGAACTGCTTCCCTGCCCGAAGGCGTTGTCCGGGTATGGGGCCCGGGAAGGTCTGACATATAAGCCGAAGGATTGCTACGTACGGCTGTCGGCTCTCGGCGCGAAGAGGGAGTAAGGGGAAGCAGGTGTGGTCATCATCCGCATATGATGAACTTGGGATCTACTCTTCGTCTGGAAATTGAGCTCCACTTGAATAGAAGAACATGGCATCGCCTTCCTTCATTCCTTCTCCTCCGTTCTCTTGGTCCATCCGACACCGCCGAAAACCATGCCACAGGCAACATAATGACTCAGTTGGTGTAGTGACTGGCCCGCCAAGCCACCCACGTCGACAACACGCCAGCCAACGCTACGAAGAAGGCACCTGCAGTATAAGCCACCCCCCAATCTCCATGTATAACGCGGGCGAAAACCGTTATGCCGCAGAACGCAATCATGCCCCCGGCGATGGATGCGCCGAGACTTCCATTGCGTCTTTCGTAGGGCCATTCTGAGAGACGGAAGCCTGTGAACTGTATTTGTGCTGCGCTGTGTATGACTTTTTCATTTGGTGACGGCAGGATGCTTCTGAAGAACAAGTTAAAATTATCACGGCAATCTGCATGTAGTCAACTTACGTGGAACAGTAGATCCACTCCTCGCGGAGGAAATCGTTTCCCCCGGCCAAGCTGGGATTCGCTAGGACCATTGGCCAGGTCGATATCAACTCGAGCTTGGAGATCTCTTTCAGTATTTCCCAATGAATCTCTACCTCGCAGCGCAGGTAAAAGGTGTCCGGCATCCCGTAGCGATTTTCGAAGCAAAAGTCTGCATGATTGACCCAGTCGTTGCCTGTGTCGTGATAGCACCGAGGCTGGAAGCCTCCGAGAAATCCCGGTGCTGTTGTGGTATATATTCCAGGCTCGCTGGCCTTTGCTTGGAGCTTTGCCAAGCGGGCCGCGACATCTACGGGCTCGAAGATTCCTTGAAATGTTTTTGGATGCGACGCGCGTTGGCCAACAATCCGAATCAGTAATCCATGCGACATCAGCAAATGACTGTACACAAAATCGATCTCTAGCATTGCACTCACGGTGACCAACTCAAGCCTTGGGGGGCCAACCAAGGATCTCCAGCGTGACGTGCATTTGGCTGTGGCCCTGTGAATGGCGGTCCACTGATCCACCGGATCGGAGTTCTCGCCGAGGGCCACCGGCATAATTACAGCGTCGTCCGGCTCTCCGGTGCACATCAGGATGAAGGGCGCAGCATCTGAGAGAGGTTCAAGCACTGCCTCGACCCGATCACGACGCTTCTTCACTGCATACGACGACGGCCAAGCGGAGACATCTGGCTTCGAGGCGTTCCTGTTCCGAATCCCGGGTTGAAGCAAAGGGTTTTTCTCTGTTGCCGAGGATGTGACTTCATCGGAGAGCGAATCTATCGCAGGTTGCCAGTCAGGAAATGGTTCTTCGTCGGCAACACTTACATGCCGACTCGGCATATCGGACCCTTGTTCCTGAGAGGAAAGAGCGGGAGGGCGATATTCTAGTCGTTCGACCAGGTCATTGATTCGCCCTTCCCTCCTGTTCGTGGCACGATACGACTTCGAAAGGATAGGTTCAGAGAATGGGAGCTGGAGTCCCCACCCGGGCTGACGAGGCAGGCTCGGGACCAGGGCTTTCCAAGCTAATGGGTTTTGGAAAACGACCCTCAGCTCCCTTACTTGTGAGGATGCGACCAGGCCCGGTCCTGTTCTGTTGGCATCGCGGGGCCCGGCGAGGGCGGCTTCTTCGTCCAGAATCCCATCGACGCCAGAGTCCCGATAATGGGCTGGCGGGGGTTGTGAGATCGGCGGTTGGTTCCCAATCATGATTGGTTCACGACTATTGCCAGCATGCTCTGATAGAAACGGTTACGGTATTGAAATCGGCTCGCGATGGGACGTTGTGAGGCATCTTATAGTGCCGATCATTGAGGAGGGCCTTCGACGCAATGCCCTGCAACCCAACTGAGATTCAGCCCAGTGGAACGCCTTTCGGCGTTGAGGGGTCGCATTTCCAGAAGCCAATACGCTATTGGCTTCCCTTGAGGCTGGGTTAAGCATTCAAGCCTAGCCTGCTTCGAGACACCGCCTTGAGCCATTCTTTCATCAGGCTGGACTCGACTTGGGCGACTGTGACGGTGTTCAGAGAATGGGGTTGTATTCGCGGGCGAGGGTTGTACGATTGGGCTATTGGCATGGTGGATAGAGGTGTTTCTCATGATTCTTTACATTACGACATTACATGTACAGCTAGACAATAACTACTCAAGATATCATCACACCTGGGCCGGCTCGCGGAACCTAGCCAAGATCATGAGCCTCATTCTCAATGAAGCAAGCCGTGCCCAATATGCCCAGTAGACTCGACAGATGCGCGCCCCGGGTAGCTCCCGCAACATGGTCCAACATGCAGTTCATGGGCATGACATGAAACCGCCAGTCGTCAATTGTGGTGCAAAACAAGGCCGGTCTGGTCCTTTCGGATTGCCAGCAGACCTACAAGTCGCATCTGCACCAAGCCGGGCAGAAAAGCCTGTCTGGTTTCCAAGACTGCGAAACCGGCAATCGGCAACGGCATCAATCGACAGCAGTCCGTGTATAGGATGGTGGGGGCGTAGCCGCTGAGTCGCCACTACGTTGAAATCTCCAATGATCGAGAAGCCTCTCGCCCGATCGGCATGCACAAGGTTTGAGCAGTATTGTAAACATCAAGGTCCGTATGCTGCAGTATTCCGGACTGAAGTAAGTGGTGGCGCCAGGCCCGTTGCACAATTGCCTCAATAGTCCATCGAGGCTTTGGAGTGGTTTTGGTGGTCGTCGCCATGGCCGTCTGCAGCAGGGAGGCTAGGGGAGCGTGTCTCTGTCGCTGTTTCGCAACCCGGTCATGGCCCGCGCCTCATTGCTGGACGGGTTGGCCACGGCGGGTAGACTAGATAATGGACCCGAGATGCATGAATGTTCCGCCGGCATTCAACATCTCTTCCGTCGACGAATAGACCAAGAGTCGTCGATCCCACCAAGATGGATGACAAATCGGTCTCCATGGCGGCCTCATCATCGGTGATCGAGCACGCGAAAGATGGACGTGTTTTTGACAAAACACTCCTCGTCCTGGGCTCTGCATCCCAGAGCTATCTTGGTCTTGCGTTCGTCGCCGGCGCCACCCTGCATGTCGGCAATGATTCGCGCAGCAGCGTTACACGACATCTCGTGAGGAGACACCGTCGGCAGGTGCTGCTGTTGCGGTTCTGTAGGACGAGGAGGCGTCTGGCTTGTCCGGTCGTAAGGATGGGGGCTGCGCGACGACTCGGATGACGTGCTCGAAGGCTGGGGCGGCTGCGTGGAGGAGCGGTTGAGACTAGCGTCGGCGAGCACGGCAAGCCTGTCGAGCGCCGAATTCTGCTGAACGTCGGACGTCGGCGTCAGTGTGAGCACCGGCGGCAGCAGGGCATCGCCAAACTTCCTCTTCTTCGCAGCGGCGTCGTTTTCGGGGTCGGGCGGGAACGTCTTGCTAAAGTGCTCCTGCAATGGCGGCAGCTGCGTGGGCGACGGCTCGAGCACGATGGGGTTGTTGAGGATAGGTGCCAGGGTGGTGGTGATGGGTATGGCGGACGAGCCCTTGGTGTCGTCCTCGAAGGATCGCAGGTATGCGTCGACCTGCTCGTTGGAGACGCCGCGGCTCGCGAGCAGGGCGCGCAGGCGCGAGTTCTCGATGGCGACGTCGCGTGCGGCCTTTTGCATCTGAAGCGAGGCCTCGATTCCCCGCTTCTCGTATTCCTGAACCTTGCGCTGCAGCTCGTCGACAAACTCTTTGTGCCGGGCGCGTGACCGGCGCTGGTTATCTCGAATCCGAATCGCGTTGGCCGACTTGTCGGTTTGGAGCTGTTGCTCGAGTAAGAAGTCAGCAAAAGAGAAGGATTTGGTTGTGCAAGTCGAGCGTTGGTGTTTTGGGTTTTTGTGGTTGGTGGCCGAAGACATTTGGCATGTCACTCTGACCCAAAAGAAGAGGAGGAGATGAAAACGCCACGGGAAAAGAAACCAGACGAATTGAAACCCCCATCGACTTACCCGGCCACGTTTAGCCTTTTTGGCTTGAGGGCCAAAAAGATCTTGATAATCTTGCTCCGACGACATTTTGGATACCGTTGGCCGCCTGTTCCATCCGAAGATCCCGGGAGGATATGGACGCGGAGTCAAACATTCGGTGGGCGGTGAGGCAGGTTGAAAAAGACCTGCAGTGCGGTTTATGGGTGAGGAAAAGAAGGAAGGGGAGGGGGGTGGGTTTTTTTTTTTTTGGTCTTTTTTTTTTTTCCGTTGGTGGTTGGTCGGTGACAAACAAGAAAAAAAGAAGAAAAGCAGACTGTGGTGACCCGCTTTCTCGACCAAGGTGTGGGCCTTCCGTCATGTACCTGAGCTTTGAGCCCACAGGTGACTAATCTCGTCAATCGGCCAATCCATTCTGCCTGGTCTGATTTTTTTCGCTCGCTAGCTGGAGATTGGCCAATGAGTAGCTCCGGACCTGTGTCCGCAGTGGGGCTCTGCGCGAACAGCAGAGACACGACCGCCCAAGCTCCCCTCCTTCCTCCCCAAGACTCCAAAACATGGCATTCCTCTGCTTTGCTTCTTTCTCCCTTCTTTGTTTGCCGCCTGAACCCCCTAAACAGAACGACCCCTCATCGCTGTGCTCTGGTTGGGCACAAGTCCTCGGTGCTGCACCCGTCCAATCAAAGCCAGTAGCTGCCGCCACCACCATGTCTTGGGCCGCCGAGCGCGCCGTCGTTGGCGTCATGGATATCTGTGATGCCTATGGCGAAGCAGCCTTCCCGGGCTGTGCCCATTGCGCCCTGCAAGCCGGCGGATGCAGGCGATCTCATGCCCTGCACCTACCTATCTGTAGCCCTGACAACTAAGGGTTTTCTGGCTGTCACTAGCCTGGGTGGTGGAGCCGTCCTGTCATTCTCTGCCCTGGCAACTCGGTTGAATGTCACTGAAAGATGCTGGCTGAACGAGTAGGAGCCCTCTATGGACTGAGCCCGGTCCACCGGATACGTATCCATGACGGCCGGTTACGGCAGGATATCCACGCGGCCATGCACGCCAAGTTGCAAGGATTCATCGTGGGGAGTTCAGGGTCTCCCTTCGACCTGGTGGAACCACTACATGCCTCGACGACACGGACCCTTCGCTCGTGACCTCGCGCACGCTGTCTGCCGTGTCGTTCGATCAACATGTCTTTTAACGGCCGTATTGTCTATCAAAGTATCTCACTCTAATTACCCGTTCCCAGAGAACTCTACATACACTACACACATCCACCTTATCCAAAGTTTGTGAGAGTGCAGATGGCGGGAGCAAATGGTTCGGTGGATTATAGATATCGTACCGCCGGGCTGTAAGATCAAACAAGGTGTAAGAGCTACCGTTCTTCGATATGGAAAGAATAGGAATTCTCGTTCAATGAAACTAATTTTCCGCCCCCACGAGTCTTCGGTTTCTTAGATGTTGTTCCCCCTGATAGAAATGGCGTCCAGCCGGCGAAAGTCGGCGAGCATGCCGGCGAGCATGTCTCAGCGCCACCTCGTAACATGTATCACGTCAGCCTACTAAACTCTCAGGCACGGGAGCTCACTTACCGATAAATCGGAAGGACACCAACTAGCGTGGTTAAAATTGATGCAGTTATGTTCCGAGTATCAGTCGCTACCCGATCGGACTCCCACCTCGGTTTGGGTTCTCCTTACGTTGATCCCATGTGAGTGCACAGAAAAGTGACTGATCACAGTCGAACCGCTCCATGTATGCGGTTCAATTTCACTGAATGCGAACTTCCTGTGCACAGTAGCTGTATTGGAACTGGTACGCGCCCTCGCAAGCCATACAATGAGGATCGTGATTTGGACTTTGACACCGGCCCCTTGGACTGCGTGTCGTCCGAGCATAAGCTGAGGTGAGATTTGTCAGTGATTGTGCTCGTACCTGCAGCTAAATACTCAAAGCTACCACGCTTGCGGCTTTTGCCGCTGATGCCCTGCTTGGTTTCAACCCAGGCAAACGTACCAGCAGCCGTAAGAATCTTTGCATTGCCAACAACAAGGAAGAAACAGAGTCCGCGCCTTGATGTCTAGTCTAAGCCCAAAGACCAACAAGTCGTTGTCATGTAGGAGGTCAAAGAACCCCGCGTCTTGACCCGCTCTAGTTGTTCACGATTCTATCCCCCTAGAGTCTAGAGGCTGGCCGCGACATCTTGCATAACAAACACGACAGTCTTCAACATCAACGATTGGTGCAGCTACGTGGAACTATAGATAACCTGGTTGTACCCTGCTAGAAGTGCTTGGTATCCAGTGATGGAAGACTATCTTTTCAAGATGGAATCGGGCAGCTGTTGAATTCAAAAAGATATGTGCGAAGGAAACCACGGAGGTACGTGGTCTCCAGTTCAGGTCTTCAAGAAACAAACGTTGCCCGCATCTTTACACTGCCAAAAAAAGCAATTTGGCAAGATTGGTTCCGGTGGTGTACTAAAACGCTGGGCCATAGAAATAATACTTCGGGATTTCATATGGAAGAGACGTTGCAACAGTAAGGAATCTCGATGCGATCCAAGGATGAACTCTGTTGAAACGTACCCCAGGTTTGACTAATCTTTGCTGCCATGCTAGGCTCAGGTCTAGACCGAGTTTTTCTCTTCCTTGTACTGTTTACGCCTTCCTCGGCCCTCTCCGACCTCTTTGAAACGCATCCCATAGGTAAGGTCAACAAAGAGTCATCATGGAGCGGTCAGCGGATATATGAGCTACGATCTGCCGCTTGCGATGCCTTCGAGCCACGGCGTCAGTAGATCCTTAGATCCTCGATGGGCGGCTGACTGAGGTCGCCAAGGACTGAGTCGCGAATTTCACTCCCGAGTAGAACGATGCGAGTTGCGGATTAGCCTCGAACGACCTATCAGTAAGCTGCTACAAGCACACCTTGGAAATTTTAGCTAGGCCCAAATCGCTTTCCTGCATGTTTATCCGTAGTGTGTACATAGGGGAGGCGATCGGGAAGCTCCAAAGAACCTACTGGGTTTTAGGCCTTCATCCAACAAGCCAGCCTTTCTAAACGTTGATAATGTGTTTTAATAAACCGCAATACTATAGCAATCCATGTCTATGTCACGAGCGGTTTTGTTTCCGTTGGGAGAGGCTGGGTGGTTGGTAAACAGATGTCACATATGTCTACTTCGAATGCCGGTGATAGCAGGAAAGTATCCGGACCCTATCAGTATGGAGTTAGAACAACCGATCCACGTAGCACAAGTGTTGGCAAATTTGTTTCAACTTAGAAACTTGACTAGTTTCCGTGCCGATGGCGCTGTCATCTTATACGTCGTCGACAGCACATCAGCTTTCTGGCATGCCGGGTTTAGCCACAAACCCCTATGTTAGCTCTCCGATGGCTACAACATTACGGCAACAGAGCATGCGCATAACCTTGTGCGCGATGATGCCGTACAAGGTTACTATCAGCATTATAATCACAATCTGGCCAACATTGGCGCATCCAGCGAACTCGGCGCCAAAAGTACCGCTCTCCTATTCGAGAACAAGAGATGTGACACCGATATTGCCACGGACCCTGAGATGATGGTCTTGCAGCCTAATCACCCTTGTACTCTCCGCACGACCGGTACTTTACTAACGAACCACGAGTTTGTAAGAGATCCAGAGCTGTGAGTCCAAGCCGCCAAGGGGCAACAAGTTCACCGTTGAAGTCAACCGTGAAATGGATTACCAGCTCACTAATTGCTGGGACTTCAGCATTTGGCGGAGACGACGGTAGACTTCCCTGACCGGCAAGCAATAGTTGCCGGTGAAGTATCCAAGGGAATGTACGACACCGACGGTTATACTTCCATCACTGAAACTAGCATCACGGACGACTGCATTCACTACTGAAACGAGACTGACGCCAAATAAGGCAGGGCGATCATGTGGAAGGTCATGGGGGGGTCTTTCAATATCTCCGATGCACCGAGAGCGATTGTTTGACGGCGTTTATCGGGGCGCAGTTTTCCTCGATAGGATACGGAACCCCTGGCAGGGGCAGCATGCACTCTTTTTCTTGTAAAGCCTAGGCATACCTCGTGTTTTGAGCAGTAGAAAGTTTTCATCTTAGTGGGTCTTCATCTGTACTGGTGACCAAACGTACTGGACCCACGAAAGAAGCTGAGAAGACATGTGTTGGACGCCGCAGTATGCTCCTCCTCATATCATCAATTCAATTTCGCGACCGCTCGAGGGTTTACTTCTATCAAGGGACAACGAGTTCTTCCCGAGCATGGGGAACCTAGATGACTGAGAGTATTTCCTTGCAAATCCAACGATTAGCAACGTGACTTTGTGGATATGAACCGTAAGGTACCTCCTTAATTACAACATCTTGGGCATGAGCCTTTGCATTGATACTGTTGATGACTTTCAATGCTATCCAGAACAGTCAACGATCGGATGCCCTCTACAAAAGTTTCAACCCTAGAAAGCTAGCCATTATTGGATAAACAGGGTTTCGGAGACTGGCATGCTGAGCATGTTTCGAAGAATGCATGTCATTTCAGAGTCAACAATACTTGTTCTTAACATGAGACAGACAACGTTCTTCACGTCGCCCTGGGCTCACCACTCGAAGTCTGGTCCGTGCCGGTTACTTGTAGGCGGATTGCCCTCTTCCCCCCTGTTAATGTCCCGTGTGGGGCTGGGGATCACAAGTTCAAGCCCGGTGCCTAAGCATCAGGGACATGTCTTGTGCTTGCTGGAGGTGAATAGACTAAATAACTCCGTGGACCTCTGCAAAGTATCATGGGCTTTGACAAAAGAACATGGTATTTGGTATTAGATATTATGGAATAGATGGCTGAGCGGGATTGCCGCCTAAACCCAACAAGCGTTACACATATCAGTTGCCTAAGGCTTCAATGCCAGAGGCAACAACATAATTGTAGCCACCAACATCCGTCTACCTGACACGGACTCCCTAGTTCTTGTTGTCGGGGCAATCCTCCTGGTGGGCACCATCACTCAGCTGGCCACGAACGGCACCAGGGACGGCCAGGCTGGAGTGGACGTCGGTGAAGAAGTCGGAGGGGTTCTCCTCAATCTGGCTGACAGCAAAGCCCGCGCCGGTGTCAACACCGGAGGCGTTGACGCCAGTGCGGAAGGGCCCGCTCAGGCAGCCGATGCTGCGGCGGACGTTCTGGCTACCCTCAACAGGTGCCGGGTTGGGAAATGCGATGCTGTCACGGGAATTAGTGACAGGCATGGTAATTTACACAGTTCTGGACTTACCGAGGAGGTCCAGCGCGACCCTTCTGTGCCTGGTGGATGTGGGTGGCAGTCAGGGCGGGGGACTGGTACTCGCCCTGGAAGCCGAACAGAGTGATGTTGTAGCAGATGACATTGTCCCTGGAGTTGATGCCGTAGCTGTAGTAGCCGACGGCCCCGGGCAAGCCACCGGTGAAGGTGTTGTTGTTATCGACAACCTGGTCGGGGGTGGCGATCACATCGTAGGTCGAGGTGAAGGAGAAAGGACCCGACGCGCCCCAGCTGCCCTTGTGATTCTTGTCATCACTTCCCTTCTTGTACCATCCAATGGACTGAGTGATCTCTTCGACGATCTTGATGGGGTTGGCGGCGGCGACGGTTGCCAGGACGAGGGGGACGAAAGCGGCCTTCATTATGACAGAATTGGGGGGGTAGTAGTGAGCGACTAGGGTAGTGAATATACAAGGATGATGTTAGATACTGAGTGAGTAGATGGAATGAGCTGCTGCTGTGATTTGATCCAAACATTTATAAAATGGGCAAAGGCATAACCCTATATAGTCTTCTGCATGCCCAGCCTGAAGGCTTGCATCGAGGTGTTCTGAGTGCTGCGCAGGTGCTCTCATCTCCTCTCAATTCCACCACGGCCCCGGAACTCACTTGTGTCAGTCAGATCTGGTGATGTGTTTACTCAGCCAAGGACCGGAGGATCGGTAAGTTCCCTCTCCACCAGCGCCATTGCCGCGGACTGGGTCTTCGTGATGAATGGGCCAAGCGAATTAAGATTGCGGCACCTGTTTGCCAGGCGCAGCATCCGCAAGGGTTCAGAGCTACCCAGAATATTTTCCCGGTCCGGGGGAAAGACGCCAGGCCCCACGGTCATTGACGGTGCTGATCACTTGGGGTTCAACAGCGGAAGCGCGACTTGCCGTCCACAAGCGGCAGAGTTTATGTCTCGTTTAGGTGGCTTCGGTAGCGTTGGTTATTTAGTTAAGCTCCTTGGCACGTGCTTGGCCCCCTCTGCCCAACATGCTCCCGCGATGCGCCAGCCCATTTTGCCAGTAACAATCACCAGAGACGGTAGAGATGACTGACGTGGGAAGTCTTGGCTTTGAGCACGACCATTTGGAATCCGTTAATCCGTTGTATTTTGCTAGCAGTGATGACGATCATTGATTTTCAACGACGCCGGTCTTCAGAACACAGCCCCTTTCCCGCCCGACCGGGACTGGAACTGCTGGGCATCTTCCGGAAAGCACCTTTTCCGACGGACTGTCTGTAGCCAAGAAGAAATTGTTTCCTGATTTTTGGTCCCTAACAAGTTCTAATAAGACACTATGTCGCTCGGCATTCGTAGGAGAAACTACCGCGCCTTTATTGGAGGAGCTTTGATCTTGGCGATGAGGCAAAGTCAAAAAGTGAGACCGTGTCTGTCATCGCTTAAAGCACGTTATCCATCATGGATGCCTTCGAATTTTCTTCTCTTCAAGATCAACCCAGAAGGTGACCAGATCGAATCATATACTCTAACTAATCTCTGCCGGACAAACCCCCGATGAAGCCCAGCTATGTGAGTAAGATGTGACAACACAGCCTTGACCACTTGTTTTTGTTTCCTCTTCTGGGCCACTATCCGTTTTCTGGACACAGTAGTACCCACGAGCTGGCACATGGACCTTACTACGTAGACATGAGAGTCTACGTGTTAATTCGAAGTCCCCGGTATTTGATCAGTTACTACCAGTGTTTGCACTAAATTTGCCAGGCCACTGTGAGGAATTACTAGCGGTGAATCTGTAGTCATTATACCGGCGCAGTCAGTTGCGAATCGAGTAACATTCAGAATCATAGCTATTGAGTGTAGGCATGTTCCATCTGCTTTTAAGAACGTTGACGACCTTCAATTTTACTGCTGCCTAGGAAGAGACTGGCTGAAGTGTTCGCCGTGACGCCATCAATATTGTAATACGCTACCCGAGCGACTCAGAGTCACTTTGTTTTGTTGGGGGCCGTCGATCATATGTAACTGGAGTGTGTGAGCATCTCTACCCGTCCTGGGTGCCGGATTCCGAGAACACGCGGTTTAATTACATTAAGCTTGGAGCAACTGTCACCAATCGTATCCTGCAAACCTAATTCTGAGCCAAGCAACCTGGGCGACTTTTTCATGCTCGGTGATATATATACAGAGGTGAAGTTGCGGTCGTGTAAAGAACAATACACAGCGAACGGTAAAATGGTGATTTTTGGCGTTGAAGTCTAGTTTACAGATACCTCACGTCGCTACTTATGTGTAGCGACAGAGAGCAGTGCCATTCTCGAATTTGTTTGGCGCTGGCAAAGTCTATTATACGACAAAATAATTCCTTTTGATGCAGCGGCACCAAAGCCTCGATGCAGGTAAATTGGGTCTCCTGAATCACGAGTCGTCCCGTAAGACCTGCTTTAATAGAGTTTTAGTTCATCCCGAGGAGCCTTGCCATGAGACGAGAGAACGCACGTGCGAGTTGCAAATAAGTCATCTACAGTACTAAGTAGGTCATCAGTTTTTGCACAGCAATAGGGATAACCCAATCAAAGTTACAGAGGGACCCATTAGCTTGGAGTCACTTCACAGTGCATCGCCTTAATTCTAGTGTCTCATCACACCACTGTAGCCATTGATTGGGTTACCCTTATTGCTGTGCAAAAACTAATAACCTAGTACTGTAGGAGAAATAGTCCGTCGGGATCGCCCCAAAAATCCAGTGGGATCGAAGAGAGAGCGCCAGGTTGAATCTTTCCTGGTGAATAAATACACAGTGGGGCTATGCACATGACAATGTCTCTTGATCGACAAATTATCCTACCAATGACAGAACAGCAATCTGATTTGTGCTGAGTAGTTAGATCAGTTCACCATAGCTGGATTGACGACCGATCAACTGATCCCTTAGCAGCGAGTCCATTGACCTTGCTCTAAGGTTGTTTAACAAACGGAATATTAAAAGGGTCGGAAAGTCCGAATCATAGCATCATGCTTGTGGCACCGGGGAATATTGTTTCTTGCGAGCTACGACACTCATACGTCGTTTGCCCGTCATTGTAGAAACCAGACTCCTCGGTCTCATCGTCCCGCATGCGTCAGTTGCCAAAATTTATCCGCCAAACCTTCGTCAAATTACATTTCAAGTTGTACAAGCATCTTTCAGAGGTTTGTCAGGGCCGAAGTATATAGGAGCTTGCATCGTTCCTCACTTCGCAAGGAATACTCACCGTCGCCATACGAAGGGCAATCTGAAATGCATAAAACAAAGACAGCTAAGTCGGCATGCAATCATGATAGAATTCTAAAGCGTGGCCGCCCCCTTTCCACATAGAAACACAAGGTATGATGATCGTTCTGCGAGAAACTTCTTTCCGGCGTGCGCGGGCGTTTGGGGGCCGAAGTCCGCATAAACAAGCTTTGGAAAGGGGCTCAGCACGAGCCTCCTAACAAGGAGCATCCAGGTCATCTGGACAAAATACTGAGGTGTGACGATTCTCGACCCCCACATCAGAAAGCTTACGAGAATGAAGTCAATCAAACTACCTTTAGGTATTATGGGCCTGTAGCCTGCGCAATATAAAGCAATGCTTCTCTCACCCATGAAAGGTCTTTGAACGTGGTCCTAGGGCAGTGTTCATATAACTCTACGACATTAAGAGAATATTAGGTCACTAGAAGGATAGGCCGAATTGCTCGGGTTGTGTTTTTAGCCGCAATTCTCCGTGCCGTTCATCCGATGTTACTCTGGGTGACATCGATGTTAGTTTCCATGACTTCCGACGGGGTAGTTTAGCTCTACTAGTAGGAATAGATATAAAAACCGTTCGCCAAGATCATATAGGGCATCATATAAATCGTCAGTCAATCACTCGCCTTCTCATTCCTCACCAACAAAAATTCACAATGATCAGTCTCACCAAGCTTGCTTTTGTAGCCTTTGCAGGCACAGCTGCCGCAGTCCCACGCAAGGATGCCACGCCAACAAAGCCGGGCGACTGCACAACAACACTTACTATACTTGACGCCGGCTTCACGGGCGACTACAAACCAACAGCCACCATCACGCTCTATAATAGTACCGTGACCGTTGCCAAACCAACTGATTGCCACGGCTGCAACCATATTACTTCGACAACGGAACTTGCACCTTGGTGGGGCGGTATTGGGCCAGAGGTTGCGAAAGCCATCTGGGTCTATGCAACGGCACCTACTACGGTCACCACCTTCGTATGCGCCACGTCAACAGCCACTCCCGCGGATGTCCCGGTACCTGAGCCAACTAAATAGTCGAGGACGACTGCGGCTTAATTGCGTACACTTATGATTTGGGAGCAAAAATGGGGGCAATCAGGCAGTTCGGCCCTGCGGTGAATTGAAGTTTGACATTTGGTCTCAAGCGGCAACGACATGAACTCGGGACATTCAGAAATGAATGTGAAAGGTGATAGCGATCTTCAACTCAATCAAAAATATTTAAAGTAGCTATCCCCAACTTATCTTGCGTCAACTCCTTGATACGTCTGTAATCTCTCGAAATAAGACACTGAGACAACCTTAGATATTGAGGTTTTCCTCGCTTTATTTTCATTCTTGATTTTTTGAATAGAGTGTTACCAGCGGACTAAAAGACGATACTAATCAATATGCCCATAGCCATAATATAATATTGATAGTGCAACTCGGCACTATATGTGATTGCTTTGGTATATACTTGGATAATTTGATCTACACGGGTGTCGCTAGAGTGGGCTGCTGACTCAAGGTAACTACTTGCCGACGCACGGAGCCCAGCCAGTCATAGTTCGCATGAATGATATTCGTTGTTTCCTTAATAATCGCACTGGGATCATTGTCACTTGGACGTCGATCCACAAAGCAAGCAATCGGGTATACCTCATTATTGACGATACAAGGCGGGCGTTCACGATGCCCTATGTCCTACGAGTTTTCGATGCCTTTCCCCCAGTTCTTGCTGGCGACAGGAGACATCTTTTGCTATGAGATTCCCCACATCGATAAAGGACTGTCGTTTCCCCCATTCTACGTCCCGAAACTAAGGCAAGCCAACGTCCCTCCCTGCCCACGCAGAGCTGCCTTCGACTAGATAGTTAACATCGCCCAAACCCGTGACGCAACCAATGCATAGATAAACAGGGTAGATCATAACATCCCTCGCAGCTCACAAGTGTCTAAGGCACGAACAACACGCAACAACCGTGTGTTGGCGCAATTACTATATACGTATGAAGGGTATCTAAAGCTACTTGTAGTCAGTCATGACTATCAAAAGAAGATTGTGTAAGCGGACGCCTCAACCGGCAGCGCTTTCCTTTGGTTGACAAGCAATTCATCCAAACTTACTATTGGACTCTTTCCGTGGATATGATTCAGGTGGGAACATAAGAGAACGTCCTTGGGCAGATCCAGTAACTCGTACAAGTGATATTGGCCCTAATTTCTCAATCACGCATCCTCAGGCCTCATCTTTCTTTTGGCAGCCATCCTCGTCCGAACCCCTGCTGTACTGTTGGAGTCTGGTTCGTCCATGGTCCTGCACTACTGTTGGCACCTGACGAGGCATCTCCTTCAGAAATGCTGGAAATTCCCAACCCGTGGTTTGATTGCATCGTGCTAGAATCGGGCGATACTGGTGAGACGGTCGAGTAGAGCGTGTTGCGAGTCCCTGATTCTGTCATTGGGGACACATATGCAGGTGGCAGCGAGTTCGTGTTCAACGTCGGATCGTAATTATCGGCTGGTAGCTCGCTGAGTTGTGTTGGAGGGTCTGGGTCGAGTTCGGCAAATTGTCTGTGCACACCGGTCGTCCTCGGCACTGCGACTGCCGCTGACGTATCGAGCTCTGATATCGACCGCGGATCCAATTCAGCCATGGTTCTCGACTCGCCGTTGAGCTCCGACTTGTACGCGTGCGTTGTGTTGTCTTCGGATCCAAATTTCGCTGCTGCCGCCCCTATTGCTCCCGCAGCACCTGCAGCACCTCCCATACCAAGCCCGATATCTCCGTTTGTTGTAGTTGCTGCGGCATTCATTCGGTTCGCGCGGTATTTCAGAAACATCTTGTACCCGATAAACATGAATAAGAGGACAGCGAGAATAATGCCGATTGCGAGGCCGGCCTTTGCGCCGTCATCCAAGCCATTGCTACCGTCGGGTGTCGCTGTGGTTGTTACCGTCGCCGTCGAGATGCCCCCAGAACCTGTGCTGGTTGTAGTCATGACTGTGGATGAAGCTGTTGTGGCTGCGGCAGTGGTCGGAACCGGTCCAGTGACGTAGCAGTACCGTATCTGGCTGAAGACCGATGCATATTGTGTGCAGCTAGCTTCGAGTTTGGTGATATCATCAAGGTCATCAGCGTACCAAGAGGACATCCGGCTTCTGAATGATGCATAGGTAGCCGAGAGCTCGGCACCCGACAGCGTTGACGTGTAGTCGCAAGCGGTAGCCCCCCATGACATTGACGTTGTTGGCGCATTATCTAGGATGTCCTCGAGGTCTTCCAAACAATCTTGCGCATTTTGACGTCGCATCTGTTGCGACCGGGCATAGATATCTGGCCGAGCAATGGCTGAACCGGCAGTCGCTAGCAAGCCGACCAATAGCCCGAAGGCGGAAGCAGATTTGGAATGCATCAGTATAGACACTGCAAGTCCGAATTCGAAATTAGCCTTCTTTTTAGGAGCGCTCAAACACTCAATAATGGAAATTGCAGTGCGAGATGGCGGACATTTGTTCAGAATAATGGATTGTCAGTTTCACGGGGAAATCGTGTGAGAGACCAACTCAATCGAAATCGACGTGGGTCTACGCGCCCCTTGGGGCACTGGCTATCCAACAAATACCTACGTCAACGACACCCGTCTCATTCTGTGATTATCGTTTCCCCTCTTGTAAAAGTCTGCGCGATTACAACTCCACACTGCGATGCAATCCACCGCCAGAGAGGACTACCTATTACTGCTCGGCCGTGCTAATTATATAGAGGTGCGTTTGCCAAGTCAGGGCGGACCAGGGAACGGACCAACAGCGGCGGTTCGTCCCAATGGCCAAGTCCTCAGCCACGGTGATTGCGCTTGACAGGGCAGTGCTGGAGTGATCAACACTCTACCTGTGGAGAGACGGGCTTCCCCGAACTCGTCCAATTGGCCGACTGCGTGTTTCTACTCGAAACGATATGTTAATCCGCTTTGGGCCCAGTCAGTTCTTGGGAGAGTTGGATTTGATCTTGATTCGGGAGTAGAGATTCTGGAGAGATTAAGGTGAACTGGGAACAGAGGGTAACATTCCAACTGGAGCTAGTAAGCTTTCTGACATTTTCATTCCCTTGATGATTGGCTCCCTTTGCTGACTAGATTAACATCTTGCTATCAGAGGGCGGGGTTTTCAATCATTCTCGAGTAAGGTTACGAACCTTGACCTAGACAGAGAACTCTTCGACGAACCGCGCACTCGACGGACGAAGGCTCTGCCGGAAGCAGTTGCCCGGAGACACACCACCATGACGCACTGGGGCTATGGGAAAATGGACGGGTGCCACTGAGGCAGAGCCAAAAGAAGCAGTCGGACGCGTGACTTGGCGCTCAAGTTATCCGTAATCAAGCCAGATAAGTTCCGGGGTCTCCGCGACTCATGACCAGCAATCGCGAAACTTTGTGGGCCCCATTTTCGGATCAGCCTCAGCCCCCAAGGAACAGGGCGGTTGTGAACCGTCAAGGGGAACATTCGATTCATTTTCCGCTGAAACGGCGAATCCGGAATGGCACAGGGGAGGGGGGAGGATAAGCAATTAAGCCCAAGTGGACTTTTCGCTCATGCGACAAATCGTTTCAAAAACAGATCTTCTTCCAGTTCAACAAGAGATATCTAAGTGGTATCGAATGCTGTTACAAAAGTTGAAAGGAAATTACATCGACCCTGCCAAAAAGCTGTCCCGACAACGGCCACCGACTCAAGCCAGGCCCTCCCCCCACTCACCCCAGGGCTACCCTTAAACCACACGCGATCTCCGTATGGCTCTCACCGAGGTCTTTGCTCACAACAAATTCAAGATCTTCATTGTATACCGTGCTCATTTGGGGTCTTCCTACTCGTTGATGCGATGTTGCCAAACCTCTTGCTCAGCTCTTGCGCTATAGGTACTCGCGCCCAGGATACTCCTCATCTGCTCGATACCTGAGAACATGACTTGGCGGGCCACGAACCAGCGGATTCCTTCATGGCAGGGCGGGCTCGTCAGACTGCCTTGGTATGTCCAAAACTCATTGAATAGCAGTACGCTATTGAGGGCCGGCATGTGGTTCACATTGATCTGTTGCTGTACCCCCAAGTCGTTAAAGCCAATCATTGGCGGCAACTGGTTGAAAAACGTGTTGTTCGCGTTCCCTGGGTCAAGCCGGATCGCTAGCACAGCCTTCTCATGGCCTTCGGCGTCGACATGGACGAGGTGCAACTCCGCTTTGGACCTGTCGCCGTTCACTGAGTGATCTGCCGGTGCGTGAATGTGCCAGCCCTTTAAATAGACTGTCATGTTGTCATATGTGAAGGAGGGATTGCCGGTGTAGACTCCTTCGGGATGCGTGACGGTGAAGGCAGGGCCGTAGCCCCAATTATAGAAGTTGCCCGTCGTCTGATTTGGGTAAGTGAACCTGAGGATGTGGTTCAGAGCCAAACCGTTGTTTAAACTGAGTGCAATCGGCGACTGCTGTGTGCCCGTTTGACACAACGTATAGTCTGCGGTTGTGTCAATACATCAATCCGGAGGATCTTCAGGGCTAACTTTGACTCACTCGGGTTAATGCGACCCCAATTGAAGGAAGCTTCGTACGCCCAGTCGGTTGCAGGCTCTGTGGCTGCGGCCTCACGCTTTCTATCACCCAAGTCATAATGGTTATGGTGTCCTGCGCAGGCAAAGGCGTAAGCTGCCAAAAGCAAGGCGCTGGAAAAGCATTGCGCGATCATCATGATGGGAGCGAAACTATTGACAGAAGAAAGGTGAGCAGACGGAATCGCAAAGTCCGATCAATATTTTTTTGACTTACCGCGAGGAGCTCTCTGCCATTTATAGTTCCGCCGGCGACCTTGGTCCGACCCTGAGAATCACCACGAATGACAACCTTGATTCATTCCCACCTCCGTGTGCGGTAGCCCATCCAGACCGTCGGGTGAGTCCTAAAACATTGGCAAGAGCATGTACCAGACGACCGGCCAAGCCCAGCTAGCATAACAAAAAGCAACGTCGAAGACGCCATCAAAATCTGAACCCTTGAAGCCGCGTTTTTCATGATGCTTGGCACAGGGTTCTGGCCCGGAGATGATGGATGGGCCTCTCCTCACCTCGCCCAAAGGGACAATAAACTTTGCATTGTTCCTTCACCGCGTTTGCTGTGAGCTCTTCTGACATGCCGGTACTATTGCTGATTTGCCCGACTATCGCGGACTGACAGGCTTCCACTGCTAAAAGACGAGCCAGAAACTCGGGGCAGAGATTGGACGGTCGGGTCAAATGACTTCGATGCAATGGCTAACCAGATGGGGTGCCCTGTTGAGATGCAGCCTGTCGGCAAGCATCTTGCCATCATCCAGTTTTCCGTCTTGGCAAAATTTCCATTGTGTACGTCGCGTGGCTTGGCTGACGCCTCCTCGAACGGGTTTGTCTTTTTTCCAAGACTTGAGCTGCGGGGAAGTTTGTGCAATTGGCCAAAGTATCAGATTCACTCAAGGATATCAATCAGTCATTGGTAGGCGCTTGGGGAGAGGTCTGGCCCGTGTACTGGGGTTTCTCTGGCCCAACAAAATACAGCATGTATGCAGGAACAGTGGCCTGACTTTCTACTCCTTAGGCCTGATCGTTGCGCAGCCAGCCCCGAGTATGATTGAAAGGACTATGTTCAACCTCTGGCGGAAGGTCTTACAGCCGTTTCACCGCCTATCTGAAGGTCAAGCTCCTGTCGCCTTTTTATTCCACTTCGCACTCATCATCAGCAATGTTTGGTATCAGGTAATTGGTCCTTTTGATGCCAGAAAATCTGACCGAACACATATCTAAGCCAAAGTAGTGTCCAGTATAGAATATCATCACGACTTGTCGTCCCGTATCAAAATGAGCTGAACGCCCTTTGGCAACGAAATAATGATGCCAAGGGATATTATGCATACTTTCCCGCTTCCGTCTGAAGCCTGGCTAAGTGGGGAACATCGAAAAAGCAGGCCATTGCAGAGCATTAATTATAGCTGAGAATGTGATTGTCCTCCAACGGTTGTTTAGCACACTATGGAAAGACCGTCCGTGTGATTTATACAACAGCGTTTGTAGCCTCAAGACCAGGAATTTAGGGGTTGGACATGATACTGGCTGGATTTGCGGCCGGGTGTAAATTCCAGAAAAGAGACGACAAAACGCTAGGTTGAAAAAAGGGGTTTCGTGTGAGCTTGGTGATAGGGAGGGACAAACATTGGCACAGAAAAGAACATTGAAATAATGATCAGTCGTTGGTGACACGATGCGGGCCCTCACCTTGCCAGGTCTTGGGCACCGGGCTCAATGCAAAATCAAGAAGCATCTCCAAGCAACAGCCCATAGGCTCTTCTTAACCTGCCAACCAATCCCTACACCCTCTCCTCCCATACTTTGACTGCTGCACACACAACACGACTGCAGGTTGAATTGGCCTTCTCCTCTATTCTTCCTTCATGGAGCAACTCTCAAGCCTAAGTGACCGGTTCATTGGGCCAAAAATTGACTCATGAGGGTAGTTGAATGGCCCCACCCTGGTTCCCAGGCCATCTCGAAGGGTGAGTCCAGTTTGTCAGCCCCTGTTGTGATGTGCCATCAAGAAACGAAATTTGAGCAGTCCTGAGTATCTCTGCACCTACATTGTTGTCGGAAGTGTCTCATAAATCGATCGAAATTCTCCAAGCCTGCACGTCCCTATCTCCGCTAGTCAGCCAATGTTCATGCGTCATTGCTCCGCTGGTCACCCACTGACTGTCCGGGGTTGACGTTGCCCACGGTTCGCATACCCAGCGGCATCTTCGTCCAGGTTGGCAAAACCTGCCCAAGGAGTGATCCTGGTAATGTTAGGATAATAAAAATCACTGCTCTACCTACATACTGATTATTTTACTGATCAATGAAAACTTATTTCAGCAAGCAGATCGGACACCTGATCGTAAACAGTATGTTCTCCGGTAGTGGATCGACACGAGATACAGCTCATGTGGCTTACTGCCTATTATATTGTTCGGCTTATTCTCTATCTGCCTGCTTTGTGTCCATGATTACAGGATCAACACGATATTGCGGATGGCTGGACAGCCCAACGTTGGTTGGGAGCTGCTGCTGTGGGTGCGTATTTCGTTCTCCGATCTAGGCTATCAAAATATGAACATTACACTTCGAGTTATAATGAGCTTAGCATCCCAGTTCCTTGATGGCAGCCTATGTACTCAAAAACTTGCTGCTCCGGTTCAAGCACCAGAACTTCGTGAAACAGGCTCAAACTCATTTTGTCGCCCAAGCTCTTTGCGTACTTTGCAAACTCGCCAAAGATGGCCAGGTGCGTCTTGTGCTCTTTGCTCCAACGCTCCAGTGAAGCAAGATCATCAAAGTACGCCAAAGCAAAAGTTCGATCCGCCCCACCCTCTGCTGTGATAGGGTCGACAATTTCCATGAACCGACAGCTGAAGCATCCGACTTCATCGCCATGGTCACGTAGAAACTCCATTCCCTCGATGAGAGGGGGCTGCATCGAGTTAGAGTACAGCAGTCGTTCTTCCGGAAGTGCCGCCGACCAGTCCTGTCCGGATCGAATTACGACGAGGTTCTTTTTGCCGGGTATGCGGACTCGCTGTAGTAGGTTCACGTCGCCGTTTGGTAAGTCCATAGCATTGCTTTTTCTTGCCTCACCAAGGAGTCCATCGGTCTGAGAAACAGGGAGGCGATCCCGCATGCTTCCCCAGTAGACGTGCTCTCGAATTGGGCCACTAACACTTTCCCGCATGTGAGATGCGCCTTCTTGGACCGCTGTAGTAAACACAGTCTCCAAACGGTCGACGGTCGGAAGAAACACTTCCAGAAACCATCCGTGCTGAGGGTTCTCTCCCGGCTTCGTTTCAGCCCACCACTTACGGAAGCCGCTTTTCGTGCACCAGTCCTCATAAGCTTGCGTGCTGGGCCAGTATGCCAAGACCGCAACGTTGTAGAAGCCGCGATTGTCGATTACGGCAGCAACTTCGTGAAACGCGGGACACATATTGAGGTCGACCGCATCTGGAGCGAGGAAAGAGGATATTGTCTTGAGGGCGTTGCCGTCGCTCATCTCCGCGGATGGGTACTGGGCGCCAATGACGGCCATGACAACATCTTTGATTTGCTTCGGAAATCGCGTTGTGTATAGATCGAAGGCAGGTTCGAAGTTTGGGGGCATTCTTGCCGGTACTGTTCGATCTTTCTTGAGCCATTCTGGGATTGCGGATTCGAGCGCCATGGTTTCATCCGCCGCAGCAAGAGTTCAAGAGGGCATCGGTGATATAGATTGCCTGAAGAGCCACGAACGCCATATGGAATGTTGCTCGCTTTTGTAAAAAGATGCATTCATGGTTGCGGAAGCACCAATTCCGCAACAGATGATCCTGGTAGCCTGAAACTCCAATCAAGTTGCGTGCATGGCGTTAGGACGAAGACTGATAGACACCCCAAGGTGCGCAAATCGGACGGAATGGAGTTACACGGGTGATCTACTAACACAGAGCGTCTGAAACTTACAAGGGCCAGGCGGCTTCGCATTCGTTGACAGCGTGATGGATGCTACCAACCGATCATGGATGGCTTAGATAGGATAATGCTCAGCCGGTGAAGACCCACCAGCCACGCGGATTGGTCGCCCCTCACTAAGCTACCCCAGAATTGATAGCCAATCTCCTGTGGCGTTTTCAAACTGATATAGGATGGGTTCACCCACGATGGAGGATAGGATAATGCTCAGCCGTTGATAGTTGGGGAAGTTGGCTAGAGATAGAAGCATCACACAGATGGAAGATCTTCAAAGTGGGCAGGCAAACGATAGGGTAATGCCCCTCCGTTGATATGCAGTACGACAGCATTGTCAACGCATCTTCTGCAGAAAGTAGGGGAAGTACGGAGAAATGAGCATCACGTTGTATTTAAAGGGTAGAATGTGACCATCATAAGAGTTGTAATTCAGACGAAAGCCCCGCAAAACATTCACCAGATTCACTCTTCGCATCGTTAATTAAAACTCACATTGAACTAGCAGAGTGACCATGGCCCCCAAGCTCAAGATTGCAGCAATCCAAGCAGAGCCGGCCTGGCAAGACCTCGAAGGCGGCGTCACCAAGTCCATCGCCCTGATCGAAGAGGCGGCCAAGCAAGGTGCCAACGTCGTAGGATTCCCTGAGGTCTTCATTCCCGGATACCCATGGTGAATATCACTGCACCCACAACTCTTGGACTCTTGGTTGCATTGTTGAGAATGGTGAGCTAACTCTCGAGGGCAAAGGAGTATCTGGGCCAAGTCTCCCACGGAAAACGCCGCTTTCATGGACCAGTACTTTCGTAACTCTCTCGTCAAGGACTCGGACGAGATGAAGCGCATCTGCGCTGCCGTCAAGGAGGCTGGGGTTTTTGTCGTGCTCGGCTACAGCGAGCGATTCAAGAACACTCTGTACATCGCCCAGGTAAGCAGCGAAGTACCTGCCTTGAACCCGTCAATGGGATGCTCACCACTTGAACAGTCCTTCATCGACGAGAATGGTGTCATTGTCCACCACCGCCGCAAGATTAAGCCCACCCACGTCGAGCGCGCCTATTGGGGCGACGGCCAAGGCGAGTCCCTCCAGACCGTCGTGCCAAGCACCCTACACCCGTCTGTCAAGATTGGCGGGCTCAACTGCTGGGAGCACACGCAAACCCTCCTCCGGTACTACGAGTATGAGCAGAACGTCGACCTCCACGTCTCCAGCTGGCCGGCCATCTGGCCGCAGCCGACTACGAAAGACGGCAAGCGAGACCCGGATTGGCCAGGCCATATCACGGACATGATGAGCATGCGGTTCTCGCAGGTCCTCGCGCTCGAGGGCACATGCTTCGTGATGGTCTGCACGCAGGTCGTCAGCGAGGAATCGAGGAAGAAGTGCCGCATCGAGGAATTCGGGTTCACGACCAACACGCCTGGGGGTGGCGGCGGGTTCAGCATGATTTATTCCCCCTGGGGCGACGAGCTCGTCGAGCGGCCACCGCCCGGGGAGGAGTGCATCCTGTACGCCGATGTTGATTTAGCGGAGAAGGCCAAGGCGAAGCAGAACCTGGACATCGTGGGACACTATTGCCGGCCTGACCAGCTAAGCCTGCGGGTTAACAAGTATGCTGCACGGCCTGTCTTCTACGCGGCTGAGCCTTGAGCGAGTAGGTCGTGGACGTTCGGGTGGAGGTGCTGCTCTTTCCAGAATGCAGGAACCAGCTATCTGGCTTGGGCTGGAATTTAGAGTTTGTCCAAGCAAATGGTGGATCAGCGGGAGCGGCGTTTGATAGCTGAGCGTATGCTGATAGGCGAGTGCGGGGTCGTTCCATTTTCATATCGGTAGTTGCGTGGAAGCTCTGAATACATCATCAGGGGTTTTCCTCAGTGTGATTTCACATCTGTAGCGAACAAGACCCGACTTACATGTGCACTTTGATATCAAACTGTTGCTGCAAAACATGCCTTTCAAATCTTATTGAGCCGCCAACCAAGAGGACCGAGAATTCGATGGCGACCTTGACCGTGCCGCAGGAGGGCAAGAAGAGGCAGCGAGTCTCACTCGCTTGCCTCGCGTGTCGTCAAAGGCGCATGCGTGTAGGCTTTGAATCCTTGTTGCCCCGAATGCTTGGCTGGTCAAGCGGTATGTTGATCTCAGGACTGACTTGACTATAGTGCGATGGGCAGCAACCTGTCTGTAGCTCATGTGTAAGAAGAGGGACTGAGTGTGAGTTCCAGCATGCGGATAACAAGCGTCGGTAATGTTCAACCATCCACGGGCACAAAACCGAATCCTCAGTTCTGACGGCTGGTGTCGTTTCAGACCACCCAGTAAGAAATACGTGGAATCGCTACAGGCCCGGATCCGAAATCTAGAAGCTCAGGTGGTATCACTAGGCTCCCAACCAACATCTACTTTGAATCCAAATACCGAAGAGGCTGGACAAGACGAGAGCACCGACGACGAAGACCAAGGTCCATTGTCCGACCTCACTGGCCTCGTCGGCCGCCTCAATGTCATAGACGACGGCCAGCTCCACTACTTTGGGTCTCAGAGCTCATATAACCTCGTTCGGGAGCCCCTCCGTGAGGCCGACCCTCACAAGCCGTCTCTCAAAGTCCAGAGACAGGGTCTCGCCGCTGCAGCGCAACTCGGAAAACTCGTCACTGTCTCTGACGAACTCCAGGACCACCTGCTCGAACTGTACTGGCGGTGGCAGAACCCGTGGAACTACGTGATCCACAAGAGCGCGTTCCTGAAGAGCTTCCGGGGCGAAGATGATGGCAAGTACTGCTCGCCGCTTCTGTTGTGCTCAATTTTTGCCATCGCGGCGAGGTACTCAGACCGCCTTGAGCTGAGGTCGGTGGTGGATGATCCTAGTACTGCGGGGGATGCGTTTTCCGAGCATGCCAAGATACTGCTGCTGTACGAAAGCGAAGCTCCTACAATCACGACTGTTCAGTCCGCTTGCCTTATGGCTTTGCGAATCATGTCAGACGGCAAGGAGGCTCTTGGATGGTTATATTCGGGTGAGTTTTGTTAGGATGGTGCGGAGACGACGTTTTGCTGATGGGGAGCTAGGGAACGCAACAAGGATGGCACACAACCTCGGTCTGCACCTGGACTGTTCCAAGTGGACAACTGCTGGCATGGTATCAGAAGAAGAGGCAGAAGCAAGAAAAGTGACGTGGTGGGGGTGCTATGTCACTGACAAGTAGGCATCCTCCCGTCTTGCTCTCCCTGACAACACTAACCAGTTTCCAAAGGCTCTTCGCCACGGGCCTAGGTCGGCCAAGCAGCACCACAAAGTCCACCATAACATGTCCCAAACCCAGTATCGACACCACGGAAGAGTACACCCCCTGGCTGCCAACTTCCGACTCACCCTATGGCGAGAAGTCGCTGGGTGTTCATTCCCACATATCTTCGACGGCCTGCCACGTCTCGGAAATCATGACTATTGCGTGCGAAGCAATGGACGTAATGTACGAGATGTCTCACGCACGGGACCAAAGGACTTGAACTGACACCATGTAGTTATGCAGCGAACAGTAAGCTGTCCGTTCGAGAAATCGAAGACGTCGTCAGCAAGACGGACGTGGAGCTGCGTACGCACTACAGGGAGCTGCCAAGCTACCTCCGTTTGCCGGCTTCGCCCAAGGCGCCGATGCTTCCTCACGTGTGTCTGTTTCAGTAAGGCTCCGGCGGTGAATTCTGTGGATGACTGCTTTGTTTCTGGTATTATTTTTAATCTTTTTTGCTGACTTGGGTACCTTGCGCAGCATACAGTACCATGCGCATCTCATACTACTGCATAGGCCGCTTGTGCACAAAAAGAAGAGGCGGTCAGTTGTGAGTGTCAACGCATCTTCAGAAGATGGTGGCGATGAGAACGATGAATACGTGAACCAACACATGGCAATATGCCGTGACTCGGCAACGGAGATTGCAAAGCTGTTGCGGATATACAAACAGCAGTACACACTCGTGAGTCCGATTCGGAGGGGAAATCATCTACGTGGAGATGAAGCTTGAAAGACACTTACTCTCTCTTTGCAGCGCCGCATTCCCATAGCAGCGGTTCACCTCTGTTTCTCAGCCACCGTCATCCACCTCATCGACGCTCGTCCTCGGAACCCGAACAGACAACAGGCGATCCGCCATCTACAAACCTGCATCGATGCGCTGCGCGATCTCCGTACCGCGTGGTGGACCTGGAGCGATCGGGCGCTGCGAGCTGTGCGGTTATTAGCCCGCGAGTGGTACCAGTGTGAAGATGTCTCACAACTGCAGCACTGGAGCGGTCTCAGAGTTGAGACAGCAAATGGGCTGTCGGGAGATTGCGACATAACCGACGGAGCGGTTAGAGGGGGCCAGAGGACTAGGCTGGGGCCCTTTGGTGAGTCAAGGGATCAGGAGACGGGTGGCCGCGCGAGTACTGAGAGTGATACGTTGGCATTTTTGTTCGACGTTGCAACACCGGATCAGTACACGGATAGTCTTGTCAAGGAATGGCTGGCGGAAAGTGGGTATGATGTGCTTAATACCATTGTAGAATAGGAAATAGGAATGCAAAGCGAAGAAAACGCGATGTGGTATCGATGAGAATAATCCTCAGAGAAATGAAGAGGTGAAGAGGTTGAGAGGCTCATATGCGTCTCAGCCGACGGTGGGAGATACGTCACCACGGCGCATGTGCACTCGGCCCTCAATCTCTCAGCCCTCCGTCCAATATCCGACGACAGCTGTGGAGTAGCGGCCAGACAATAGTCCGGCTCGGCCGACTGGCTAAGGAAGGAACCGGATGGCTGCCCATTTGTTGCTTGATTGCCTCGTGTACAGGCCCCAAAGAGGCTTTCCCCGTTTCAGTCTAGGAGGGAATCGCGGTACCTTGTCATTCTAGGTATCATGCGCAGTATGTAGGTTTGGCCAGCCACTGACGAACGAGTCGGTGTGTTGTATTGAGGGGCCAGACGGGACCAGACCAGGCCCAAACATATTTATCACTCCAGATGGAAGAACAAGGAACAAATAATGTGGTCCTCGCGTCGATGACCTTCTCATCTGCTGTTTTCTTTCAGTCTCATCCTTTTTTCAACCAAAAAGTGCTATATGTCTGTACCCTAAGCTAAGGAGCCAACTCCGGCAGTACCGCATTCAGCTCCACCGGCACTTTCCCATGCCCCTTTTTCCACGCGTTTTTCCTCTTTCCCATCTTCCTTCGGTGGAGGGGTGGCCTAGAATCCACCCTACTGTAGGAGCGAGCTCCGACAAGTTCCCATTGGTCGGAAGGTGCCGGCTGGCCAATAGACGCAGCTCCTCAGCAGCCCCACGTGATGAGTTTCCGACCAGGGGGCCCACCGATCGAGATCGAAGTCTCTAAGTTCAGAGAAGGAGGCAAGCACCAGTGAACGTCCGAGGTGGAAGGCGTGAGGTGGAGGGTGCGTACGGCTTTGCTCGTCCTCACGTTGCGGAACCAGCCAGACAGACAAGTCTCGCAGTCGCAGCAGCAGCCAGCAAAACCAGCAAACTCTTCATCAGCCTAGTCAACAGCCACGCCGTCCATTTAATTTCCCCTCCGCGAATTAATTGGCCTATGCCTTTTTTCTTGGGAAGAGAAGGGATGGAAATCCTCTTGCAAGTGCTACCGATCCCAAGAATAAGGCACATTGTCGTATAACGGAATAACGAAGACAACACAAGAGGGAAGAAAAAACTCACTACACGTCCGGCTATTCCCTTCAATCTCATGTCACTCCCGCCAAAGCGTCGTCGCGTAATTCTTCCTGCTCCGGGCACCCAACCGACTGGCTCTTTTCCGCCCACGCCGGCAACAGCAGCAGCAGCGGCGGCGGCGGCCCAGCAGCCCTCAGCCTCTGGCCGCGGATCGGGCGGAGGAGGGAGCAGCGACGACTCAGGCAACGATCCCAATACTGAGAGCAGAAGCCAGAGCGTCGAGTCTTCTGCCGACCCGAAGCCGCGTGCTTCCTCCAAACGACAGGTTATTGCTGTCGCTTGCGATAACTGTCGACGGAGAAAAGCCAAGGTGAGATAACAAAAACCATTTACACGAGAGACACAAGACGTTCTCGTACTGCGCCATGCGATATCTTGCATGCGCGCTACCCGCATCCCAGGCTGACAATTCTTTCTCTGCCCGAATCCAGTGCGATGGCCAACGCCCGAAATGCCAGCACTGCTCCAAAAGACGGGTTGAGTGCCATTATGAGGCGAATCAGGGCGAGACGGTGAGTCTTGCGCTCAAACGCAAAGCCAACGTCCTGGAAACCGAAAACGCCCAGTACAGAGACCTCTTCCGCATGGTCTGCACCAAGTCCGAGGACGAGGCAAAAGAGATTTTCCGACGCATTCGCGTATCAGGCGATCCCATCAGAGTCTTGGAGTCCATCCGGCAGGCAGAAATTCTGCTCCCCTCGCCGACGACAAATGACCGCACACACGACTCAAGGCTGGCTAAGATTAACGAAAGGGCTCTCCAAAACAGCCTCATCCGAGTGCCCGCGAAACCATGGACCACTGTTGCCGACGATGGTCTTGTGTCTGAGCTAGTCACCGACTTTTTCAGCTGGGAAAATGTCAGCTGTTTCCCAGCTATCGAGCAAGACCTGTTTGTGGAGGATATGCGCGCCGGCAGCATCAAGCGAGCCAAGTGGTGTTCTCCCATCCTAGTCAATGCTGTCTGTGCAATCCGAGCTGTGAGTCGAGAATCCTCCTTGGCCTAATGTTTCCTGTCGACGTGCTTACCGTTTGTGCCCGACAGCCATTCCTCGAAAGCGCGAAACAATTTAGCGCCGTTACTGGCCGAGACCTGTCGAAGCTGTTCCGGGACGAGGTCATGCAGCTGGTGGAAAAGAGCCATGGACATGCCACGATACCCACCATTCTTGCCCTCGTTCTCGTAGACTGGTCGGCTAGTATCGCCGGAGACGAGACGAGCGCCAAGATGTACCGCTTCATGGCCTGGGAACGGTACAAGCGCTTCAAACCTGAGCGGAGATTCGCCATGCTTAACAAAGATGACCCTGTCGATGCTAGAGAGATGCTCTGCATCTCAAAAGCAGTATGGGCCATCTTTTTTATGGAAAGGTGGGATTCAGTCCTCTCCCTCATACGTCATCGCATCCCAAGCTGATTTCTCGCTGTAGTCGCATCTCATATTTCTACAACTCAGTCGCCGATATCCCACCTCCTTCCATACCGAAACTATTTGATAACTACGGCAAAGATGCAATCGAGCCAAGAGGCAACATCGATGTCCTCGGACGGCCATATCTGGAATCAACAGCCCTGGTACCGATTGCCCCAGGGATGGCAACCGTCGTTTCAAACCTTGCCTGCCTACAGTACGACGTCATGCAGTACCTCACTTCCGGTAGCACCATAAAGGGAAGCATAGAAGACATCAGACGGAAGAAACACTGGTACTGTAGGCTGCAGGAGTTTAGGAAAGCTTTGCCCAGCCGTTTCCAGATGGAGCACAACTTTACCCCCGGGACTTGCTTCCTCAGGTAAACCCTTCCCTGCTCGCCTCGATTTTCCAAGTTGCTGACAATATTCAGGATGCATGAGAATGAGATCGCGTACCTTCTCCTGCAGTCCCTCCATCCATCAACAATATTCGATACCCCCTTTACCGCGCCATCCACCACCATGAAATCCATCTGCCTGCAACACTGTATGTCCGACACTACCCTTGCGGAAGCATACCTGCTACGATACACCAACCATTCCTACATCACCCGCCAAGTTTTTGTGACAATGCAAAACTTGATGCCCTTTCTCAATGACAACCATGCTGCAACGAAAGATATGTTCACACGCCTCTGCAGGATCGGCGGCCTCTCGGCCCGCGTTGTCCGCATGTCCATGTACCTTTTACAAGCGCTCCAGGCCATGGCGTGGGCAATGAAGCAGGACATACCCGACGCAGCGAAGCCGTTTCTGGAACCGTGGGTCAAGTTGGCGATCCAGGAGACTGAGACAAGGCCACCGAGTTATGCTGTGCCAGATCGTGAGGAGATCAAAGCCCTTTTGGCGGAGGATGACCAGGGTGTTGAAGGAGGTGCAGACAGCGGCACTGAGCTTTGGGCTTTGGTTGAGAAGTGGGCAGTCAGTGGTGGTAGAAGTTTTTGATCAACGGTTTTTGAGCGGGCGTTTGGTTGCATATCGGAAAGGTTGCACATGGTCTTTAGCGTATTGGCTCAGCCGGTGTTGGATATGGATGCTCATCGTCTCCGCTATTTTGGCTTTTGCTGCCAGAACAGATTTCTCTGCAGCCAAGCAATGTCTTCAATATGAATTACGAATCTCGAGGTTAAAACTCAAAAGGTAACTGTCACAGACGTTACAATATAGTCTTCGGCCGAGGGGGTTAGTCATGTGATCATGTCTTCATTGCCCACATCTCCAATCTCCTTCTCGACCCAAAACCCGAGCTGCAGAGATCAATTGACAATCATTCACACGAACTAACTATGAAAAGGTTTGCACAAGTACCATACAAACTGCGTCGGCCATATATGCAAGCCATATGTACACGCCATCTAACTATCCATCCATCAAACACCTAAGCCGTGGCACCTATCAGCGTTAAAGAGTAACCAAACCCCCGTGTTGACCTTGGTTGATAACGCAAACAGGTCAAACGGAACCAAGTTCGCCGGCGTGTTCGCAACAAAAGGCTCGCCTCCTCCCCGCCTGCAACACTCACGCTCCCAGTCCCATTGACAAGCTCGGCGTATCTCCACCGCGCTACTACTCGTGTTCCGCCCAACCTGTTGCGAAGTCAACTGCCAGCTGGTCGTGATTCTAACGCTTGCCGTGCCGGACGGGCTCTTGAGCGGGATCACGTTGACACTCATGTACCGCGGCCTTCTCGGAGAATGTACGCGGTAGCTCCCGCTCCGCGTCGATTCCACGTTGGAAGGATTGATATGGCCCCGCTGGTTGAAGAGAACGGACTACGCCTGGCGGTGGCCGATGTCGAGGTACGCCATGCACGCCTGAGACTTCCCCACGACGCTCGCGCTGGAGGCGCCTGTGGAGGCGTGCTGGAGGGTGTGCAGTGACGTCTTGTTAAATTTGGGGCTGCACCGCACCATCAGCTGGCGCAGCACGTCGCAGCCCAGGCCGACGAAGTTTGTTCGGGTCGTTGGTGACGTAGGCGAAGAAGTGTCGCGCCTGGTAGTAGTTTCCGCTGCCGGCGGTGTCCACGTCTTCTGGTGGTAGTGCAGCCCGTGGCCGAGCTCATGGGCGGTGACGGAGGTGTCGAGGTACGGGTTCGCGACCTCGAGCCAGGGCATGCCCGTGGCGGCGTCCAAGTGCATGACACCCGCGGCGCCGGGAAGATTGGCGACGCTGCAGACGTTTATCTTGTCCAGGGCCCGTCGCGGTCCGAGGCGGCGTTGTAGGAGAGGCCTGTGGAGCGCCATCCGGGGGCGTCGACGAAGCAGGCGTTGACGCCTTCGAGGAGCGGGAGGACGCGGTCGGCGGCGAAGAGGTCGGGGGCGTAGACGCAAAAGTGGGCGAAGTCGCGGTAGAAAGAGCCGCCAGGGCCGATGGAGGGGTTTGCGGTGAGCGAGACTAGCGGGGCACAGGGAATAAGAGGGTGGAGCGGTCTATGAGGGTGATTAAGAGATTTGGGGAGGTTGTGGCAGTGTCTACGCCGCGGCAGACTGGCTGTGACGGGTTGGGACGACGTGGACTCCTTTGAGGAGGAGGGTGCGGGTCAAGGGGGTGAGTTTTTCCATGGTAATCGGACGTTAAGAGAAGTTTGGGTTTTGAGCTTGATTAGTGATGATACATTTCATGGAACAAGTGCAACTCTAAGGGAAGAGCATGCCAGTCTTATATGCAGGAATTGGTCAAGACCACTGGGCTATATCATCAGGCATTGGCCAAGGGCAGAGCTCAACCTGTTTGTGGTCTTAAGAATCCCTCGAGAGCTTGCGGAAATCAATTTTGGACTTTTCACGCTTGTCATCTATCTATCTTGTGGCCCGCTCTGATGGACATCCGGGTCAGGTGCTACCAAACTGTCTCATTGCTATCAGGGCAGGTTCATCGTATCTTGGGTTGGCTTCTTGGTGTTGGTAGAAACTCTGCGGATCACGACTGTCGGTGTGACTGCCAAGTCGACCCTTATCTATATCCGACTGTGTTAACGACTAGGGACGGGAGCTCATCAATGTTCTCCTTGTTCCTGACAATTACAGACAATACTTCGTTCTGTTCCCACGTGTGTATTCAAGCGCGATGTTCGGTACGACTTCGGACACATTGTCTCATTACTTGAACTGGAACCGAGCCAAGCGTGATAGTCATTCGAGTCCCTTTGATTTCACAATTACCTTCTATACATAAGTTAGCATATAGGTCAACGCTGTTAACCAATATAAAACGCCTACCTTTGTCAAGAGAGCCGTTTCTTTCAACTTTTCGGGGTTTTCGGGGCCGTTTTATTGCGCTGCGAAGGATTTGGCGACGATGCTGTCTGCTGCCCCTGCTGCTGCTCCTGCTCCTGCATTTGTTGGCGAATTCTTTTTTATGCCTGGCATAATCGTTGTTAATGTTGTCGTTGTTCTTGTGCTCAGGTGGCCATCATTTGTTGCCGGTTCGTTTGCCCGTTGGACTGCTGACTTGGATGCGAGCTTGAGGGTAGCGCGACGCCCTTTGTAAGAGCTTAGCAACTATGTTGGGTGTTCAAGTTGGTCGAATGCGACAACGAGGACGAGTGCGTATGGGTGTCTCCAAGATGATGCTTTGTCCAAAAGTATGGCTTTTTAAATGATATTGAGAAAAAAAATGCGTCCCTGAAGGTGCCCTGCTGTGTACCTAACCTGCCTTCTTTCTAATCGATGTGGCTGAGCGAGGCATCCAGCCAAGAACCTATTGTGTCTGCCTTCATTCCAAGCTGAGATAGGCCTGGTAATAGTACTCGTTATTTCCTCTTAGATATCTACCCAGGGGTTTTAGTCATCAGGCTGCTGCGCTAAAAACCCCTTACTCACGTAAGGGGCGAAAAAAGGGGGGTCACAGCAGCAAAAGGGGGGTCGCAGCCTATATCACGAATAGCATCACTTTTGCCTATTATACACAAAAATCTCTACTTTTTAATTTAAAAGGTCATAACAACTACAACGTTATATAATAATAAAAGTAGTATGAATTAATAGCCTTAATCTAGGGCTTTAAAATAGTACCTTTTTTTCTTTTTTTTTATAATAATTAAAAATTTAAATTACTATTATAATAGTACTATTATTAGTACTATTATCTATTATATGTTATTATTTCTTTTTAGTTTATATTAATAGGGAAATAAATAGGTTATTTTTTATTGTGCTTTTGTTTTATTAAGTATTTATATTATCCTTAATTATATAGTATTATAACTTATATTATAATAGTGCTTATAATGTTATTGTTAGTGTTAGTGTTACTAATAGTAATAGTACTAATGCTATTTTAAAGTTATTATTTTTATCCTTAGCTATATTAACTGATTCTTTACTAGATATAGCCTTATTAATATTTTTATTAATAGGATTATTTATATCTATAAATATCTTAGGATTAAAGTCTAGCCTAGTTACTTTTGTAGTAGTATTAGCTAATATTTAGTTAATATTACCTTAACTAAGGGGCCTTATTATATACTTAAATTAATTAAGTATATGTTATAGTAAAAGGGTAAAGTTAATGTTAATAATGAATTTTTTTTTTAGCTTATTATACTAATAAAAATCTAAGGTATTAAATAGAATATAGGTATTAACTTCTTTAGTATAGTGTAGCTACTATTTAAAGGTTAGTTACTTTATTTACTTATCTATTATCTAATACTTTAAAGCACTATATCATTAATAGACCTCCTTTTTTTAGCTATAAGCTATCCTCTTAACTACTACTTACTACTACTATTACTTTACTTATATAGCCTTAGTTATTTACTTCTTATATACTTTTTTTATATTATTAAAAGTAATACTTAATATAAATAAGTAGCTTAGCTTAATAGCTTATTAAGCTTAGCTTTTTTATTATTATATTATTAGCTTTTTATTATAGTCTTTAATATAACCTTATTAATACTTATAGCTAAGAGCTCTTTTATTAATTACTTTTTTAATTACCTTAAATCTCTTTTTTAAAAGGGTACTTTATAAGCTATTATATTTTTTTTTTATATAATTAGTAGTAAGTATAGCTTTATTAAAGTAATTATTATATAGTAAAAAATATATAAGGTAAAATAGTATATTAGCTTTATTTTACTATATTTTTTTTATTAACTAGGCTAATATAATATTATCTTTAATAAGCTAAATACCTGATTTTTTAAACCTTTTTATAATATTTATAGCTATAAAGGTAGTATTAGTTATATTAGTAAAAGTAGTAATAAAGTTACTTTTTATAAATATAAGGTTATTATTTTATATATAGTTATAAAGTATTTTTTATTAAGTACTTTTAAATAACTAAAAGACCTTAATATCTATTAGTTAAAGAAAGTGTATTATATAAAGTAAAAAAAAACCTAAAATAATATTAAAGTTAATATAATACTTTATAAGCTTTATACTAATATAGCTAATAAACTTATTTAATAAAAGTAAATAATATAACTACTTTAACTTTTTAATTATATTTTAATAGTTATAGTATTATTAATATACTTTACTTAGCTTACTATTAAGTAAATATAGGTTATAGTTATTATAATTATATATATTAATACTAAAATAGTTCTTAAGTAAATAGCTTATATAGTAATATTTAGTTAACTTTATATATAATTTAGTATTAAAATACTATATATAATCTATTATAACCTTTTAGTTTAAAAAGCTAGTTACTAAATACATAAAGTAAATATTTTTTTAAATCTAATAATCTATTTAAGTAATAACTAGTTATATTTTAAAGATTAAATATCTTAGTATACTATTACTTATAATATTATTATATTTAATTAATATATATAACTCTTAATTTATAGGATTAATAACTTCTAGTAAGTAATTATATTTTAGTAGTTACTAAAGTAGTATTATATATATTTTGCTATTAAGGTAACTAATTTAGTACCTTAACTTATTAGCGTTTTATATTTTTAAAGGGCTAAGATTATACTTGTAGACTATTACCTAATACTATATAAAAAAGTCCTTTATTAAGGTAAGGTCTAGCTTTATTCTTTTATAGTATATCTTAACCGGCTTAATAGTAGCCTTCTTCTGAAGCTCTAGGTAATTAGCAAGCTAGGTATAGACAAAGTGCTTTAATATAGGAGGTATAGCGTAGAGGTTATGTAGATAGTTAGCCGTCTCCTCTACTTATATTAGCAAGGCTAGAAAGCCAGCTTTTATAAGCTATATAACAAAGGCTATAAGAGCAGTATCTTTAGTAGTGGTTAGTGCGCGCAGCCAGCCAAGGGCAGCCGGCGGGCTTGCCTGAAGGTCATGGCTAGCTTGAAGGGTCTGAAGATGCCAGCGAATAGATATATTAGATATGCTATACTGCCGGGCAACCTCGCGGATAGATATAGTAGATATCTGCTTGCTAGCCTAATCAAATTAAGCCTGTTGCTGGGCAGCAAATACTACTTTGGCTGCTTTTTTAGCAGTAGTCATATTTTTGTTATATGGTCGGGGCATATTGACTGTGTTGGATAGGGATAGTTAGTTTAGATAGTGTTAATATCTGTTAATAAAATGTCTGAATAATTGATTGTTTTGGTGAGAATATAACAAAAGTGTTAAAGGACAATAGAGCAGCCCGCCCACGGGCACTGTGGCACAGGGTGGCATAGCCACAAAGAACAGCCACAGGATTGTAAAGTTCATGATACTGTCTCAGGGTACAAGGCCCATTTAACGGGCAAAAGGCTAGAGATTAGTAGGCTAAGATCTAGCTTTTGTTTAATATAAGACCTATGTTTTATAATTATATTATTCTTAACTATAGTTCTTTTATAATTCTAGATTTTCTTAAAAAGTCACTAATAGTAATAATAGTAGACAAAAAAGTAATAGAGGGTGTGGATCTACAAGCCTCAGGATTAAGTTATACTATTAAATCCTAAAAGAGAAACTTAAGAAACGGTATAAAAACCTAAAGAGGAACTAGCCTAGAAATCTAAGTAGTATTATAATAATAGATTAATAAACTTAAAGCAGCATAAATAACCTAAGAGTAAACTCTAAATTACCTAGAAGTAATACTAAAAAAACTTCTGCTTAAAAGTAAATTTTACTAATTTTTTAGTAATTTTTATACAAAAAGTAAAAAAAAGTATATTTATAAAGAGATTTAAAAGCTTAGTTTTTAGTCTAGCTTATACTAAAGAGAGGCTTAGATTAATAATTTATAAGTAGCTATTAAAGTAGCTCCTAAAAAGTTTTATAAACTAAATAAATAAATCTTTTTATTTAGAGATAATATAAATAATAAATACTAAGTATAATAGGATAAATATATAGACATTTTATTAAATAAAAATAAGAATAAAGTAAAAGACTTTAAATATTTTTTAGAATAAATAAAAATACTCCTCTAAAACATTATTTATAAAGAGTTAAATATTATATAATAAATTATTAATATATAATAAAAAAATACCTAAGACCTTAAATAGTTCTATATATACCTTAACTCTCTTAAAAAAAAATTCACACTAAGGCTATAAAAAGAATAGACTTTTAAGTTCTTTTACTAGTTAACTAGTAAACTTAAAGGAACTATT